GTGAGAATCGATAAGGATAAAATTTACAATGGATAGAAATAGGAAAATCAAATTGATTCAAGCAAAGGAAATAACAATGGATGGATAAATTATCGAAGGGAATTCTTTTCTTATTGAAAAGGTGTTTCTAATAGCGAAACAATCGAAATGACCATTCAATGTTCACCACATACGATGACATCCATCTATCACATTATGCGAATTTCGTTTACAATCATGATGACCACTGGTCATTGATTGAAAATTTTGACCAATCAAAGATCATCCATTGTGCATCATTCTTTATGACTGGGGAAATCAATAGAATGTTTATTGAAGAGAATTTGTTGTTTATTAACTATGAACTGATTCTGACAGAATCGGTTCTTTACCTTTATTTGGATAATTTTCGATTCGTTTATCTATTTGTATTTATGCCCATTAGCATGCACATCTGTTTGTTTAGATTATCTCAATTCCCTGCTTCATCATTCAAATCGTTTAGTTAACATTTGTTAATTTAGTGACATTTATTCAAGTGACATTGTTACTGTGATTAGTGTTTATTCATTGGATCAGAAATCTGCATTTACATTCGCATTGGTATCTGTGGATTGACTCGTACTCGCTGGTGTACATATATCTGTTGGCTTGTGTTGGTCTGTTGGTGTTTAACCGTCGTATTTATGTTATGACTAGTGCTTCATACACCGATTTCACTGTTGATTTATTTATGCTTGATGATTGTGATTCGTTCAAGGTTTTAGTCGTTAATCTTGTCCGGAAAAATCATTGAATTAATTATTATGTCAAGAAAAGGTGGTCAATTCTATTCACGTGATTTCAACGCACCATCACATCGATGTCGTCGAGCTGATGCAGCAGGAGATGTTAACAGATATCTAGAATTTCATATACACTCGTCTAGATACGAATTAGTATTTATGAATGAGAACACACCGATGGATTTGTTAAATCAAATATTACATCACGTTGATCTTTGCAAACAGTATTCGGTAGATACTGAATCTGAATGCGACAATAATCAATTGTCACTGATCCAAGTAAATTCAATTCCAGACACACCACCGTCACTCGTTATGTTATTTGAATTACAACACTTCCCCAGTCGACATGAGCGAAAGTATGGAATGTTCCTCGAAATTTTCCAATCGATATTTAGGTCCAGTAATGAAATATTCTCCTGAGGCCAAATGTCAAAGGAGCTTGAGCCAGTAAAAAGCTTACTTATTTGGCCGATTCGAGCAACACTCATCAACATTCAACCGCATTTTTCTACTTGGTATGAATGGGCTCGGACCCGATGTGGGATCCTGAGCTCGTCGGAGAAAGATGGACAACCACAACGTCAACATCAACCCTGCAAATGTCATCGGGCATCAGTATACAAAAATACTGAATTATGGTCCCTACAAAACGCGTTCAAGTTTGGGTGTGAATTATATATCAGCAAATCATGTACGCTGAGTCACTGGTCTCAACCACTATCGTCCAGCAAATCAACATTATCATACCACAAACGGAAAGAAATGATCAGTTATGCGGTGCATGATGTTATTGCCGTGACTTACTTGATTCGACCGATCAGTGAACATTGGACATTTGACCAAATTAAACACCGAAATATGGATGAACTGTTTAAGGCATTCGAATTAATCCAATTACCATTAACACCAAAGCCACTGAACAAAAAGAAAAAAGCTAAAAACATTAATGTGAACAAAATTGCCAAGATATTACAATGTAATCAATCAGACATTGAATCAATATCTGACGAAGAAATTTATTTGCACCAGTTAATTCCACCAGCATTCGATGGTGTTATTCCACCAGAACCCGTTGATGGAGAGATATCGTTACAAGGAACATCATCCACCCGTCACGATCGAGAATCGATCGAAAATATTCGACCAGATCTTGCAACAGTTGAAAGTGAAAAAGCACGGACAATTGTGGGAAAAGATTGTCGGGTGGTTAGAGTGGATCGAGTTCAAGAGGATATAACATAGAGCAGAACGAATCGATCAAAGCATCAGCAAAGAAGTCACGAGGCAAGACACCGAAAGAACCAGAAACACAACAAACAACGCCGCAAATACCGATATCGATATTCAATCATTAGGAGAAGATACAAGCGATTTACGTTATGCCTGATCCGCCGCATCCTTCGTCTATACCAAGTCAAATTCGTACACGTGAAAGAACTTAGTGATGATCGAATACTTATTGGCTTGAAGAACATAGAAGAACAGTATGAAGCTGAACACGTATTAAGCATGGACATCTTCAATCATCGAGGATATTATCATTATCGACGAAAATTCAGTCATTAACACCCAGTCTTTTACTTTCCTTTTTCTCTCTCGTTCATTATTTGTTGTCTTTCTTTTTCTCTCTCTTCAAAGTATTTTGTGAACAAAACACTTTTCTGCTTGGGGAAGGATGTTATGGCCTATATAGCCGGGACATCTATTTACTTCATGTTTAAGTCTTTCGTGTTTTCCTTTTCTTTGTTCTTATTGCTATATATGTTGTTACATTCAATAAAAACAGGCAGTTATGCTTCGATAGAAACATCGAACACACGCCACTTTCTTTTCGCTCTCGAGCATCGAACATAACAACTGGTTATCGTTCATTTCCATATTCACTTACCATTGGTGATATAAATAAAGATAATTTCACGGATANTTTCTTTGTTGCCGGTTCTATATATGTTGTGAAATAAATCGAACTAGTCAGTTATGCTTCGATAGTAACATCGAACACACGTCTCTTTCTTTTCACTCTCGAACATCGAGCATAACAAATATATCGAAATAAATCTTTCAAAATATATATGAATGTCTAACAACGCTTCACTGAGAAACTTTGAGCTATTCGAACAAAAATTCTATTGAGTGTACATATCTTTATCACATAATTGACCTATACAGCCAAACGAATTGCATCGCCAAAATATTTATTCGATTGACTGGGAAAAGACAAATCTATACATTGGCCGATCGGTATATCCTATAAATAGAGCGCATTGCACACATTGCGTTATTCAGAAAAGAAATTTTTCAAGCATGGTGGACCTTTCGTATTACGTTCTACACCCTTTAATCTCTAGTATCAAGACAGGAAATATTTGGCATGATTGTTTAATCATTATGCTCAGTGTGTTTTGTTTATCATTTATCAGTAAAATATGTACATCTGTAATGGAATCATCGCAATCGTTCATTACATCCATTAGTTGGCGTCGGATCAAAGCTCGATATTCGATAGATATTTCCACTACTTCGTCTGATAATTTAGATACTCGAATGGAGGTAAACATTTCGTTTCGAGATTTCATCTTCACTATAGAAATGATTATTACAGGTTCCCGAAGAATATTTGGGTCTTATTCATTATCTTCACTCATCGGATATCAACATATGTTCTGCGAAACTAATTCCTACTTACACCAATAAGTATACGACAAAAAGTGATGCAGCTCTAGACGAACTAGTCAACTACTTGATCACATCGACTGGCAAAGAAGATATTCTAATTGCTCCGACCATTTATCTTCATATCGAAAAAGAAAAGCCGCCAACTACAAACACATATTCATATCGCGTTCCTTCGCAGAAATATACGATTACTCTATATTCATATAAACTAACGTTAAGACAACTGAAGACACAAGTGAACGAATGGACTGTGCAATATCGCGAGTATATCAAAGGCAAAAATAAAGGTGAGACGAGAAGATAATTCTCAACTTGTAAATTGTGTTCTATCCTTCGAAGGAAACTTCTATCGATTTACGTTCGTGTCGGCACCTGTGAATTCAGAAGGAAAAACTACTGTTACATTTCATAAGAATCTTTTCGTCACAACGAAATCGTTCGATAATATTTTCTTTAACGGCAAAGAAGAATTAATCAAACGCTTGGACTTTTTTCTCAATAATCCCAGCTTTTATCAAAAGCGCGGTATTGCACATTCACTTGGCCTGCTCTTCTACGGTTCACCTGGTATGTATCATTGATTTCGATAAACTTCTTTTCCGAACCATTCACTTCATGTACAGGTTGTGGTAAAACATCTATGGTTAAAGCCATAGCTGCTTATACAAAGCGTCATCTTGTTGAAATTCCACTCTCACGTATTCGCACATGTACTGAACTTCAACAAGCTTTGTTCTTGAATTCATACGACATGGTCGACTTGGATTTCGATAAAAAAATCATNCGTCGATATCCTTTTCAACCAAATATTTATGCATATCATTTCGAATACGAATCCACAGATTCGATGGTAAACGAAACGATTCTAACGGTGGCAAATAATGCGCAAAAACTGATTGTAGAATGACATCATCTAACGAAAGAATGTCTTCGATCTCGACTTCACTCAAACCACCGGACAATTGAAGATAATGTATAGCACGATGAAATAAGATTTGTCCATGTTTTGCACCTAACTGATTGTACAAGTATTCAATGGCATCACCTGTATACTCAATAGATAAAAATTTCGCGTCGGGAGTTTGATTGTACGAATGCCAGGTTAATGTTTGATCGTAGAGAAGCGAAAGGAAAAGTGGATCGATCTGATGTCGCCGAGTTAGTTTCGGTTTGATCCATTCGTATTGAACTGGTGTTAAACAACGTCGGTCTTGTTGCAGCCAAGATCGTAAGACTTCTTCAGCTGTATTTTCATCGAATGGTTTGATTTCTATCTCGAATAAATTGTCCGGATAGATTGCTTTCAGTTGGAGGTAAATCTCGATTTTCGTTCGTTCTAACCCAATTTCTATATCCGGAATTGTTGAGTAGATACATTTGACATTCGACGGGAAGCTTTCCGGTAACCAATCGGATAAATGCATTACATCAACTTTCTGTAATTGATCGAGCGAATCAAGAAGAAGAACGAGATTTTCTTCTTTCGGAACACGTGTCAAAGTACTCGTAAAGATTTCTTTAACATTTTCGAAACTCGATGGGACACTCAAATGATAAATATGACATATTTGTTGAATAATCGATATGAGTGGACGGCGAATATCGCTGGATGATGGAGTGGCACCCAGAAATCGAACGACAACAGAAACATGATTCGGTTTGGGATACCAATTGGGAATCTATACTCATAATTATATCAACCTTCGAGTAAAGAACAACTTGTCGACTTACTTCATTAACGACTTTTGCCATAATTGATGATTTACCGATTCCGGAGTGTCCAAATAATACACAAGCAGATTTTGTCGATGCTGTAATATACGTTTTGATCTAATAGTGAAGATTTACTAGAAGGTATGAGAAAATATCTGTTTACTTGATGGAAAACATCCGGTCGAGGAAAAAAGCGTTGTGTTAATAGATTACATTGAATTGCATGTTCTAAAACTTGATTAAATAATAAATCTTCGCGTTTACTCTCGTAGATTTTCATATGGTAATCAATTTGCGATCGGACAGCATGGTAAAAATCATCGTAGAATTTCGATAGATAGTTCTTTCGATCGTTGCCATCGCTCCATCGTAACTGAACAAACAAAATGATATCTTTTAGACAGAATCAAGACTTACTTTGTAGGTATAGATTTGTGAAGGATCCATCGATTGACGAAGCAATTGTTTGACATCGTCCAGCATTTGTTGAGACTGGGCTTTATCATCATTGTCGTGAAACATCGGTTCGAGTCCGTCGATATCAATTAATTCTCGAAAGAAACAAAGTATTCGCTGTGGTTTCTGTTTATTATGCTCCAAAGCACGATAAATTTCCTGTGCGGTGACTAGAATGAACAGCTATGATATGAAATACTCCCAAAGACCAACTACCTGAGATGTGAAACTCATCCCGTTCGTCTTTGCTGATCAGTTTTTGCTCATAACATTGGTTCGATGCTTTCCGTAAAATTGCTTGCAATTTTTTCTCTGATTCATTCCACTGTTGATTATCATCAATCGGCCGAAGAAAGTACTTTTGATCTGAATAATTCTCATCTAATTGGTACATTTCATTCAGAAAGCTCTTCTCTTCAGTATTCGATAGAAGATGTTGAAATATCCGCGAAGAGATACATGCCGGAGCAAAACGACTTCCATATTTGTGACTCAACAAAATCTTGAAATTCAAAAATAGATGTAAATTAGACAAAGTCGACATTTTACCACACAATTCGTTGCCATCGATAAGCGATAGGAAATATCAAGTTCTTGCAAACACATGTCAACGGTTGCATGAGTATTTGCTGCAGTGGATTGAATACCCCAACGCATATCAGAATACTACAAGAATCAAGATAAAAATGTAGAGATTAGAAAAGGAATTACTTGAAATTGAATATCATATTTCGAAGCACAATATTCACGTAGCCGAGGATAAACTCTCTCAATAAGTCCATTTCGTTCATTGGTGGTATCTAATGACGCAAATATTCGATACTTCAAAATTAGTTTATCTAATGACTAACCAGTGAATGTTGAACTGACAAATATACGAACTGAATTGAATTTTCGATCTCCAACATGATCGAACCGACCCCGATACAATGAATTGTCTTCCATAGTCGTCTGAAAAGAAAATTTACTTTAAGTACAAAATAAATTTGACGGCTGTGGTCGATAACTCGCACCTTTCTCTCCTTATGTTGACGGGTGTCGTGTGCTTCGCTCAATTTCTTTTTCTTTCTTTCTGTCATTAGACGATTTCATGCCAATGGTAACCAAGAGACCATGATGTCAGCGACATAAACAAGAAAATGTTTTCTTTGAGTTTTGAAAGTGACTTAAATCCACAGAAATCGCACCGAAGGAGTTGCCATGGAACGATTATCGTTTCTGTTTGTGAAGAATCTAGCTATTTTCATATATGACATGTGTTTATATGTGGTCAATAACTACAAGGAAAAGAACGAGAAAGTATAAGGATAACAAATACAGCAGATTATTCATCTCACACATAATGTTATAATGATTCATATATCAGCTCCTATCAAGATTTTCGACCTACATAGAACAAATATTGATTATATATATATATATATATATGTGATGTGATAAGAGTACATTTAGTCACATGTAGAACAATGAAGTAGTGTTTTATAAAAAAAACAAGTTCTACCTGTGATTACTATATTGTTATAAATCAATTGCAATAATGAATTGGATTTGCGATATTTTGATAGTATGGTTCTGTTTGATGTACAAATCATATGGAATGCCATTGGTAGATGAGCGCGATTGGTAAGAGAATTTTCTCGTATGTTCTTTCAGCGATCTATCTTCTAACAATTTTGTAGGAGGGTATTTATACAATCAGATCTAGTAATTATCGCTCTTTTTCATGAACATTTTCGTTCATTGTTCACCTAGGATGTTGAAGACGATACAGTCTTTATACAACAACAAAAGATAAAATCAAGTTCGTGTAATCATCTTTTCTTAAAAATCCATGTGTAATATTTTACCTGTATAATTTAGACGAAATTATGATCGTATGTATTCATTGTATATGATATAAGGCACTTCTTTGTCGTTGCATAGCAAAGTCGAGGAGTGGCAGTGCAAATAAATCCAAGATGGCCTGCTGGCGTCATACCTTATTACATCGAACCAAGTTTTTGTTTGTATCCAAAACTTGAAATCAATCAAAAGTACGTTTTATTTTTGTTTATAGCTGATGCTCACAGGCATCTGATTGAATTAGCAATGAAACAAATCGAAGAAAATACGAAAGTAGATGATAAATCCTGCATTCAATTTAAACGTCAGTCACAATACGAACTCCCTTATGTTCATATAGTAAATGGAACCGGATGTTCATCAACCGTACGTAGATACATAATAGATTTTGCTTGAAACAACGGTAATTAGTTTGGTGTAGATTGGACAGGGATGGGGATATAAGAGAGTAATGCTGGAGCATTCGTCGACGAGTAGTTGTATGGATATTGGAATTATTTTACATGAATTACTTCACACGTTAGGTAACTTGTGTTTGTTTCTCAAGATAAATATCATGAATTTCACTGTTAAGGATTTGGTCATGAACAGTTGAGGCCTGATCGCGATTCATATCTTCAAATTCGATGGGAAAATATCCAAGAAGGTTATTAAGAAACACAATTGACTATGAAATCGTTCGCTTTCGTTCTTATTAGATAAATTCGCTAAATTCAAGCGATATGAAGCACAACAAGCTTACGACCTTGACACGCCATATGACTACGGATCAGTTATGCATTATCCACTTGACGCGTACAGCAAAAACGGATCTTTAACAATGGTTCCAACAAAAAACATCAGTGTCATCGTTGGTCAACCGTTCAATTTAACTTCTATAGATATTCTTGAAATCCAACGGTATTATCAATGCGTTCCTTTCGGATCAACAACTACAACAACTCCAAAATCTTGTGCAATCACATGCTCAACGCCTTGCTTTTTCATTTTCACTCTAGTCCTATCAATCTTAGAGATGCAATTGTGATGAATATATCGAAATAATTCTTTCAAGATATATGTAAATATCTAACAAAGCTTCATTGAGAAACTTTGAGCTATTCGAACAAAGATACTATTGAGTGTACATATCTTTATCACATAATTGACCTATACAGCTAAACGAATTGCATCGGCAAAATATTTTTTCGATCGACCGGGAAAAGACAAATCTATACATTGGCCGATCGTTATATCCTATAAATAGAGAGCATTGCACACATTGCGTCATTCAGAAAAGAAATTTTTCAATCATGGTGGACCTTTCGTATTACGTTCTACAGCCTTTAATCTCTAGTATCAAGACAGGAAACATTTGGCATGATTGTTTAATCATTATGCTCAGTGTATTTTGTTTAACATTTATCAGTAAAATGTGTACATCTGTAATGGAATCATGGCAATCGTTCATTACATCCATTAGTTGGCGTCGGATCAAAGCTCGATATTCGATAGATATTTCCACTACTTCGTCTGATATTTTTGATACTCGAATAGAGGTAAACATTTCGTTTTCGAGATTTCTTCTCCACTGAAGAAATGCTTATTACAGGTTCCCGAAGAATATTTGGGTCTTATTCATTACCTTCACTCATCGGATATCAACATATGTTCTGCGAAACTAATTCCTACTTACACCAACAGGTATAAGACAAAAAGTGATACATCTCTAGACGAACTAGTCAACTACTTGATCACATCGACTGGCAAAGAAGATATTCTAATTGCTCCGACTATTTATCTTCATATCGAAAAAGAAAACCCGTCAACTACAAACACATATTCATATCGCATTCCTTCGCAGAAGTATACGATTACTCTATATTCATATAAACTAACGTTAAGACAACTGAAGACACAAGTGAACGAATGGACTGTGCAATATCGCGAGTATATTAAAGGCAAAAATAAAGGTGAGATGAGAAGATAATTCTCAACTTCTAAATTGTGTTCTTTCCTTCGAAGGAAACTTCTATCGATTTACGTTCGTGTCGGCACCTGTAAATTCAGAAGGAAAAACTACTATTACATTTTATAAGGATCTTTTCGTCACAACGAAATCGTTCGATAATATTTTCTTTAACGGCAAAGAAGAATTAATCAAACGCTTAGACTTTTTTCTTAATAATCCCAGTTTTTATCAAAAGCGTGGTATTGCACATTCACTTGGCCTGCTCTTCTACGGTTCACCTGGTATGTATCGTTGATTTCGATAAACTTCTTTTCCGAACCATTCACTTCATGTACAGGTTGTGGTAAAACATCTATGGTTAAAGCCATAGCTGCTTATACAAAGCGTCATCTCGTTGAAATTCCACTCTCACGTATTCGCACATGTGCTGAACTTCAACAAGCTTTGTTCTTGAATTCATACGACATGGTCGACTTGGATTTCGATAAAAAAATCATCATTTTCGAAGATATCGACTGCAGTAAGTGTTAAGATTTTTGCGAGAGAGAGAGTTTTTCGATCAGAGATTTATTAACAGTGTCGCAAATCGTTCAACAGCGATTGATACCGGGATCTATATGTCCAACAACGTCGGATGTCGAAGTACCATCGATCGAAAAAGATGATATTATTTTTCATCTCGAAGATAGCGATATCAAAGCGAGAAAAAAGAAAATATCCAAACAAACATTGAGAAATATGTTAGGTAAGTTGTGCAATCACAAAAATGACCGAAGTTTTGATTCGTTGGAATTCTAGGTGATACTCCAAACGCTCCGAAAGATCCGTTAACGCTGTCATTTCTTTTGAATCTGATCGACGGAATTATTGAACAACCATCGCGTATACTAATCATGACTACGAATCATCCTGAACAAATCGATCCTGCTCTTCTTCGACCAGGCCGCGTCGATATTAAACAAGAATTTAAACGATGTACGAAACCGATCGTGAAAACAATCATCGAATACTTCTTCGAGGAAGAAAACGATATTGATGTCTCTCAATTGGCTGATTCTGTTCATTCGCCAGCTGAAGTCATTGCAGCATGTATGTCGTCATCAGATGGAAAAAATGCTGTGCAATTGCTGTCGGAACAAGCATTACCCAATGTCATTGTCGAGGCACGAAACTTCACCGGATCGGACAAAGAATAATAATGTGAGATAAAATTTCGTGATTGTATTGACTTTATTCATCAAATACACACATAGAAAATATTCTAAGCGAATAATATAAAATTCTTTTCGTATTCGAAGTGATGAAAGTAGTGAAGGCGTGCAAAGATTATATTATCGAATGAAAAATACGTACAGGAAAGAAAAAAAGAAATATTTCTAGACGTGTGTGGAGAAACGAAACGCGAATATATTCGAGTCATTTCGAGAAAGAATGACGAACGAGCCGGTTCACTTCTACGGTCGGAATAAACCATTTAGTGAATTTAGTAATTTTCACGAAGCTCCCATCGAATTGGATGGGTACACATGGCCAACAACTGAACATTATTTCCAAGCACAGAAGTTTGTTGATGATCAAGAACATTATCTACATGTCTTGAACTTACCTGCTCCACGTGCGGCATTTAATTACGTACGAACATATAAATCTTTCGTTCGACCTGATTGGACAGATGTAAAAGATGAAGTTATGCTTAAAGCTTGCATGGCTAAGTTTGAACAGCATAAAGATCTGAAAGACTTATTATTGTCAACTGGTGATCGACTTTTAGTCGAACATACGGAAAATGATTCTTATTGGGGAGACGGTGGCGATGGAAGCGGAAGAAATCAATTGGGCATTACTTTAATGAAAGTTCGAGATGCTCTTCGAAAACAAGAGAATTAATTTTTCGTTTTTATTGCTTTTGTTTTTATTTCTTTACATCATAAACCAGTGCGTGTCTTTTCGTTGAAATATAGTTGCGGGAGACATCTAACTAGTGAAGGAATATGATACTAACAACGAAAACTGACAAGCTGTTATCATTTACCAATCAGAAATAAAGATTAGAAGAAACGAAAATTTGTGTAGATTGTGATATTAGATGGAAAAGTAATTGCTGTCGGCCGTTCAGTTGCTGGTGCACTTACCGCTCTGTTTCTTAAGCAGAACGGATTTTCAACAGAAATTTACGAACGTGTGGCAGCTTTTGGTGACGCTGGAGTAAGTACAAACACGACTAATATGATTTTTCTTATTCAGGGTTCATTCGCATTATAACTTCCAATGGTATTAAAGTGTCGATGCAAATACCTGGTTTGACTGGGAAGTTTGTAGAAAACGGATGTGCATTGAATTATCTTTCCCATCGAACATCAGATGGTGCTATCATCAATGAATATTCAATTGAAGATATCTTGTTGCATTTCGGGCATCCTTTTGCTAGGTATGAAACGTACGGTTACGTTACGTTTGTTACAGGTGAACTGAATTGTCAAAGAATACCAGTACACTTTAACAAACCGCTATGCGGAATAACTCATTTGGATGATCATGTCGTAGCTCAGTTTAAGGATGGATCGGAAATTACAGGTGATTTTCTAATCGGTGCTGATGGACTTTGTTCAAGCGTTCGACAGATTCTATTTGGAGTTGATCAATCTACTTACACCGGTCTTACTCAAAACCAGTGATGTTACTGTTCATGTAGATGAATCAGCTCGATAGGCAATATAGGAAAACATTTTATAATCTATCCCTTCAATGCAGAACAGGTATGCTTCGCGTACACATTTCGTGAACCGATGGCGGACGGTGAATTCTGGCGAACGTTAACTAATGATCAGGCATTAGATTTTATTCGAGAATGCGGCTTTACGCAATAGGCGTCACCTATTAACACATTCATTTCAAATACTTCTCGATAGATGAAAGTTGATTTGTACAATCGGTCAGAACTATCAACATGGTATGAGCATCGCGTTGTCTTAGTGGTCGATGCCGCACATCCAAGGAACAAATCAAGCAATGGAAGATAGCTAGTATGTCGTGAAATCGTGGAAACTATATACAACAACGCAAGGTGGGAACATCATTCCCTGTCAACGCAGCCAGACGTCAAGGTGAAGCACAAGTATGCACAGAACCGGATGCATGTCAACAACAAAATGAAGTGTTACGGAAAGGTGCTAGCATCGATGTCCTTCATTGAATTTATGACATTCAATTATAGAGATTTGTTCCGTTTATTTCTAAGATAAAAATAACTCGTATAGATTACACACTCGAGTGTTGAAAGCTAATCTCTCGTTCGGAAATATTCGTTTATCAAGTGATACAAACTTACTCACAAATATAGGTCTAAAAACAGAAAAAGAGAATCAAACAAGAGGATAGCTCGCCATCGTAGCTATTCCACATTGGTTGTTTTTGTTTCGACTCATCCATACATATCCATTTTGGCCCCAAGTGGTGCCCCATGAGTTCTTCACAATATAATAAAGTTGATTATCCGTTGCATTGAAACCAACCGCTAGAGCGCAATGATCAACTTGAGTTGATGAACACTTTGGTTCATCATAAACACCGGATTTATAAAATTGAAATGACGGTTGCGATGCATCAATAGTCACTGCTATTGGGCCAATAATTGCAACAGCGTATGTCAACGCATTTTCGTCGTTGACTTTCACATCCCGAAAACCCTAGAAGAAGAAGAAGAAAAACCAAATAGTTTTCTTTGACAAAGATCACGATTCATACAGTCGAATTGGCACCAATATTTGTACGATTAAATCGGCAATTACCATTGCGTGCTTCGTACGGATAACTTTCTTCCGTATCGATTCCACCATTGACTTTGATATATTGAAAAGCAAAATCATTCAATCCACCATTACAGCCGGCATTTCCGAAACTGTCCGAGCAATCAATCAAGTTTTGGGCAGACAGTGATACAAGTTTTCTTGTTTGATGAAAATGTTGTCCTTCAAGAGAGCCAGTCGCTGAAAAGGCCCAACTTGAACCACATTTTCCTTGATCTTTAACTGGCGTAACCGCACCTTCATTACGCCAATCTAGAAGACAATACCATTGTATCAATTTGCACATCAAGGTGGAATACAGCATAGCGATGAATCATACCAACAGCATGTGGAACATTCACATGACGTCGAGTCGGTTTCAATTCTCCAGTACTTTTCGGTATTTTCATGGGAGTTAGTTTGGTTTGAAATTCTTTATGCGTCTAATCGAATAGTGAAAACTGTAATTATGAAATTTCTACTGAAAGTCTATACCATATCACCAAATTGATTCATTCCCAAGCGATAAGTGTAGTGACCTCGGGCAGCTTTATGATTATGTTCATGGATTTTAGCTAGGTTCGTTTCCCAAACATTTCGTCTGTTCGAAAAGCGAAAGTAAGAGTTGCAGGAAAGACAAATCTTTATATTTACCGCATTACTTCTTCTTCCATCGAGTTATATTGTTTTTCATAAGTGTGCTTGAAAAGATTCCATTCATCATCAAGATATTGGTCGGGTATCGATGCACAATGAGTATTAACAAGCAAAAAACAGAGAATAACAATCGACTTCATCATAGATAAGTACTCAGTGAGTCTTTTCGTTTTGTGTTTATATATGACATCTTGCTTTTTTCATGTCATCATTACGTTCTGCAAAGATAAGAAGAGAGATTTAAATAACTGCCTTCATGTGCGTACCTTTGCCATTCATTCCGATAGGCGTATAATAAAAAGGTTCGTCAAAAATACTTGTAGATCGATATTTCGATGAGCAATAACTCAGCAAGTCTTCGTACGGAAGTGTACACTCTTTGAAAACATAAAATATTTTTTACCACATTGCGTCAACATGTATGACGTCATTACCAAGAAGGTTTTTTCCGCCAGATGTCTCATGTATCTTATTTGATTTTCGCGTGGGAATATATTATATATATTCATCTACTTCATCGTCACATTTTCACTCGTATTCACTTCCTAGCATGACGCAGATTGTGTGCGATCATCGTGCAAGTCATGATCGTTTTCAAATACGAAAACACCACGATATCAATTTGAGGCGCAAGCAATACCAACACACGCAAAGAAAAACATCACATGGCAGTTAGCCGAAAAAAACATCAATTCTTTTCGATACACATATGCTGTCAGACTCAACCAATGAATCAAAATATGATAGAGATCAAATCGATCTCGAAGTTCTTGTTTTCTACTCAGTTCCTAAATCACTCAAAATCTTGTTCAATATTTTTCAAACTTCATGCACATTTAGATCGTTCTATCCCATCGAAACACTATTGTTCGTGGGTGTGCACGAAGAACATGTACCACTGATTGACATGTGTCTCGCACAGCCTGGCAGCTTTGATGTAGATACACAATTAAATGACGGTATTATCAATCAAATGAAGGATGATCTGGTGCAAAATTATCGATTTGATCAGAATACCGGAACAGCGCTATGGTTTGCGTGTTACTACGGTCATTTAAATATTGTTCGTGCATTGATTGAACATGGGCATGCAGATGTTGATCTTCCAAATTGTAAATATCAATCACCTCTTCATGCAGCTATAGCTCGACAACACATGGATATAGTCAGATACTTAGTCGAACAAGCACATGCAAGTATTGACGATACTCGACATTTAATGATTGCGCTCAAAACGGAAAATCGCGATATGATTGATTATTTGTTAGATCAAGGATGTGATCCAAATACGCATTTGCTCGATGAACCAGTCGATCGAACCTATTTTGCACTGCATTATGCTATTAGTCAGATCCCTTCAAATATATCAATTGTTCAAACTCTCTTAGACAAAGGTGCTAATCCAACGATCCAAGATGAAAACAATCGAACCGCTTTACACGTGGCTGTTCAATGTAGAGATGAACAAAAAGTTAAAGAGATCTTACGTTGTGATTTTCACCATAGACAAAGAGATAACAATGGCGATACGCCATTAATGTTAGCTATGACACTGGAATCTAGAAATGTGATTGACGTCTTTTACAAACTCTATCCTCGACAAGACTATATTGATGAATTGATGTTAACAGCTTGTAAATTGGCATTTCATGAGCGATTTGCCTTTTTTGAAGATACGTCCATTGCGTATATATTCTTTGAGCAAGCGCTACGATTACAAGAACCGAATGTTAGTGCTATACCAGCATGTGATATTTATCTTTTTCGAACAGAATGTCAAACAATCGATGAATTAATGCTGATTCGGGACGTTCCTGAGCTGATGTACATCCAAGCCTTTTTAGTTTGTGAACGGCTACTTCCACAACGCGACGAAATTCATCTTCTCATTCCGGAATTGTTCAGGCTCTATGATATTTATCATCAAGCTACGGAATATGATCGTTGCATCTTATTGTTAATGCACATGTTTCCATTGATTTTATCATCGAGAGAAAACTCATTCCGTTTTTGGCGTACAGATTGTTTAGCACTGTTCGTGGAATTGTTGGGGACACTTATTGTGGAGGATAATATACGGCTCATTGATGAGATTGTGAAAGCGTTCGGATTCGTTTACCGTATGACAGATAATCTTTCCGAGTTAGTTTACCCGTGTCTATATGTTGCTTATGTAAGTTGTAAATAATTCAAATAGCTATAAGAAATGTTCGTTGTGATTTAAGGCGATAGAAAACGATCAATTTAGTCTAAAGAACAGACATCAATTACTACAATATGTAAAGGAAGCTGTGCATCGACAATTGGAAATTGGCTTTAGACATCTCTTGGAAAGCGTTTCGCGACAATGTGTTTTTGGGTCTGATGATCCATTTTTCCGAAGGTAGTGACTTTCTTTCTATTAGTCTCCGGTTGTCTAATTAAGTGTTATTTTTCGTAAAGGATTACCCCTGTGAATGTGATTCGAATGCTGATTCATTGTGGAGCAGATGTTAATATACTAGTGTTTGGAGACGATACGTACAATCGAGGAAACAGCACCCTATTACACCTCATTGCACACAGTGATGACATTGCTCTTGTTCAGCCCATTGTGGAATTACTCGTGGCAGCTGGTATTCATACTGATCGTCTCGATACTCACGGACACTTACCAGAACAATGTGCAACAAATACTGAAATAAGACAGTTATTACATTCAAAACGATCGTTGTTACTCAAATGTCAATGTGCTCATTTGATTCTTGCTGAGCAGATATCATATGAGTCATATTTATCGAACAGCTTGAAGAGCTTCGTCCGTATGCATCGAATTCAGAACTAGATCGCAAGTGCCGTTTCAATTTTACCGAATGCGATCCGAAAGACAATGATGGCGAGAGGAACTTCAATTGTTCTCGAGAATGTACGATTTTGAAACAATACAGAACCGAATATTTATTTTCTTAGTGGACAAGTTTGTTTCATCGTTCTTCTTTCATCAACGTATTTCTATACGATTAATTGCGTTGACACATCAGTTTTCGAATAAATGCTTCCAGCAAATTGAGTAATGTTCGCCGAAATACTTGTCCTCCAGTTAGCGTATAGATATAAAATGGCATTCCCGAAGCAATGTAAAGAAAGAGCAGAAACAAGTTGAAAACGAAGCTTTCGATAGTATTTTGTAATGCTGACTTTACATTGCTTCTGGTTATCGTTGTATAAAGTTTCGAAACAGCCATTGGCATAGTGAATATAAGAAGAACTATGACTTGAACAAAGAGCATGATCAATAAATGACGATCCATTCGTTTTTGTTGACTTTGGCTGTCGCTGCCAGTCATTGTTATATTTTGCATTACACAGCTATCCACTGTCACAGATGTCGGTTGTAAACGAGCTCGCGATTGACGCAGGTTCGATATGATCATCAATCCAAATATAAGCATCAGAAATAACGGACATGCAATGGTGATCAAAGCAAAACATAAATCTGATATGATGCCACACATCACTGTTTTTGTGTAGCATTTTAATGGTGTATTAGTGAGATTTGCTTCGAAACAAAACAGTTGTTGTATTTGCAAAAGTGATGAGAGTATGAGAACAAGAATTGCACCACGTTGTGCTCTCTTCAATGTACTCAATCGTCGTCGATTGGTGTTGATACTTGATGAAAGCCACCGGTCAACTGTGGCAAGCATGATAAGCCAAAATCCAGCTGTCATTGAGCCAAAAACAAGAAAGATGCGCAGTTTGCACAGAAACTGATTGGTATTAGTTAGATCAGCTCCCCATGTGGACAAAAATCGTGAGATGGTACCGGCAAGAGTGCTAACTAGAAAAGCAATCGATGACATGAGAAAAAGCCATGTACATGGATTTGACCGCAGCGGTTTTTGCGCGAGTACGAGAATGTTGAAAGTATTGCCGATAACTCCGAAGAGAAAGATGAAAATGGCAAAGTAACGATTGATTTGCGCTGAAGCATTGTTCAACAAGGCGATAATGTCTGCATCTGTTGATGGCATGGCTGTGCTCAATGAATAGATTTTCAAGTAAAGAATGAAGTTAAATTTATTTAGAAACGATGGAACCTGCGTCATTCTATTTTAAATACTTAATCAGAATTGCAATTTAACAGAGTGAAAAGGTAATTAACAACAAAATTCTATTGACGTCATAAGGATTAAACCAATTCATAAGAAGGAAATACTAATGCATGGATTATTTCTATGAATAAAAGTGTTTGAAGAATATTAGTAATTATGAGGATTTTCACAAAAATAGCCTCTCTTACAGGCGGCCGGTTACAACCCAATTATCATACTATTCCTACATTTGTGTTATTTTCTGATAAGGTTCGTGGAGAACTCTCCTTTGTCTATCATTTTAACGTAAACAGGAAACTATACTGCAAATGAGCATTCATGAAAACCAGCAATCGAGGATAAGAAAGACATGAAGATATCATGATTGCAGCTATTGTATGTTATTTGTTTCCTGTTGCTTTGACGGCAAATATGAAACGAGAAACAAAATCTTTTATGTGCAAAATGTGAGGTAAGCCATACATAATTATACGATTTCAGTTTTGTGTAGCAGACAAAAAGTATTTCTGAACAGATTTATCTATGAGATCGAATTACCTTTATCTTTCACAAGGTATACAACAAATCTCCTTTGATATTGCAATGCTCAGAGGATGGAAAGCTCAATCTATGTTCCGCTCTCTTGTATTTATTGGTTATATCTCAAAACATGGGTCTTGAATGAAAAATGGCCAAGTCATCAGATAAAAATTTGATAAGGCGACGTGTAGACCACTTTGCGTGTTGTTGTAACGACTCGTGTTTTGACAATCGGACAGGCATCAATAGTCACCACTTGAACTGGCTCTTCACACTCACTGACTGTATAAACACAGTGTGGAGTACGATGAAGTGGCGGCGCTTGAACTTCACTCTTGTCGTAATAAGATTCGAAAATAGAGTCCGAATAAGCAGAGTAAGGATACATGTTCATTTTGCTACGACGGCTGGTTGAGTAATGAGAGAACGCGCAGATGTTTTCGCATATATATACCCAGGACGACTACGCGCTGAGAGGAAATAGGCATCGGCAAGTTATTTGAGAAAAACAAACAATTAACGGCACTTGAATGGTGTGACGACGTATATCATATACTAACTAAATATGGTGACACGCATTGCTATTTATTTATTTATGTATTTTCGTACACATTCTATTATGTGAAGACAGTGCGTGTAGAGAAAAATTACTCGATATGATATATAGGCATGAACAGATCGATCGATGAAAAATAAACTTGTTGTGCGTGTATATATTTATAGAAATGCAGCATGAAAATAAGTTCTCGGCTGAACCATCTGAAAACTATTGATACTCCTTCACGAAATATCGATACTGTTTTTGTCATGCACATACCTCCCGTTAATCATTCGATGAAGAAGCTTTCGTCTCTCGTTAATCACACTCTTAACTCTGTCCGATCCAAGTGATTTTTAATAATGACATGTACTAGTTGTTATAGTACCAATGAAATTGTAGTTGATTGACACGATCACCTGAACGTCCAGTAACATATCCTACTGTACATTTTCCCAAGATCATCGATTGATTTACTTGTTCTTCCATGAGTGGTGAAGAATCGTATATCATTGTTGTGAGGATCCGTTGTGGATCAGATGGAGATGACTATAGAAACGAGCATGCTGTTAAACGATCTCCCGAACGATAAATATGTATTCCACGAAGATAATTTGGACTTGGTCGTCCTTTTTCGTATAGATTTTACATGAAACTCGTATTTCTGCTTACCACATGAACTTCGACTTAGACTAAATCTTTGAATTCTACCGTTATTCATATCCGCTACGAAGATATTCTCATATATTTTAAAAGCCATCATGTGCGAGCTGTTCAGCTGACCAGCCGTTGATCCCGATTCGCCTGAACAAGCAGAAATACCTTTGAATACATTCGGCGTCCCAAGTAACACTCGTAGGTCTTTTAAGTATAAAATCTACGTCTGCGCCGAAACCTGCAAAAGTCACTGCGACCTGTTGATCGATTGCAAAACGCTGCATTCGATTGTTGTTTGTGTCCGCAACAAATAGATTGAAATGACCATCTACAAAGATTCCATGAGGATGATCAAGCATATTTAATGTTGGTCCTGGACAACCAGTGCCAGCTATAACACTCAGTTGCGTTTCAGGCATGTCATAGACCATTTTGAAAATACGGTTTTCGTTTGTCAGAGAACAGTACAAGTTCTGCTGAACATCTACAAAAAATCCTCTACATGAACTATTAATAATGAATACACGTTCAAATCCCATCTTTCGATTCGACGCTTTGAATAACCATTATCAACATAAATATAGTTAGTAGCGACAAAAATACTTTTTGGTCGATCGAAATTTCCAACAGTAGTGCTCATTACTGTAAATAGTTGATCCAACAACACTGAATTGCCGTTAATACCGTTCTCCCAAGTAACTACATGAGAACGATTTTGGCCATCAATACACACATCAGCTGGCTATGTGAACCAACTATAGTTGTATTGGCAAATGTTGTTGCTTGACTCTCCCACGATGCACAAAAGCTCTCATTTCATGATCTGTTGTATTCAACAACAAAAATTTACCCGTAGCACTATTCTTAGACAGCACCAAAAGAATGGACCAAACTATAAACATCGTTATATGAAAGCACCTCTGCTACATACTCTCTTCTCGCACACCGACTGTTCTGATGAAAAGAACATATATTAGAACTCTAACAATATTGACTATGTCTGTGTAACTTAATACTTAAACTATATTTGTTACATTCTTTTGAAAATAAACTAGAGTAGAAGATCGTAGGTACGCCATAGCTTCATCATCAGGATTTATATACAACTGTACGTCAATACTTTAAATGTACGTGGGTTTAACGTTAGTTTATGAAATTCTTTGAATAAATTCAATTTTGGTAGTCCTTTCGTTTTCATCACTTATTATATTAACAAAGGTAGAGTCAACATGTTTCATAAAATCAAACTGAATTGAATGAGAGTTAAAGTAAAGTAATATCAGACTTCATAATAAATCACATAAGTATTTGCACAGCAAATATGACGAGCTATTCCAAGCACTAATTCTCAACGAAAACAATATACTGGTGAATAACGATCATCGTTTGGATTTCTTTTGATTTCAAGCGCCGTGAGTAAAATCGAAGTTCATCGGCGCCTATCGAACTTTCGGGTGGGATAGATTGTTGTTAACACCGCTGTTGGATGATACCAAGCAAACTGTAGCATTGAAATGTTTAGCTGAAAGTGTATGTGGATATGAATAATTATGAGTGTAAAGAAGAATAAAATCTTATGATTGAAAATAAGATGATGAAGAGTCATCGAGAAGAAAAGAACCTCCTCTGATTTCCACATTAACAGAGCCATTCACAAGGTTTTCGTCCTGTGCATGAATTGAATTTGTACTTGATTCAGTTGATAAACTACGATTCCTCTCAGAAATATCATCACAATGATAGTAAACAAGAAGGATTACTTCATGAAGTAATTCCATAAGTTGTATTTGTAACGCTATACGTTACGAAAAGCTGAGCGACTAGACTATTATATCGATTGTTGTTGTTTTTAATATAAAATTCACCATACTTAGGAGAGACAGTCTCATCTACGCGAATAACCATCGATAAATCGCTTTGATCGAAAACATACGTTACATATTGCTATTGAAAGTTTCACAGTTGTACTGATGCATTCGCGGACGACCGTGAACAATTTTGAGGAAAACGTTAGCACCATCTTTATATTTATACTTTTGAGCGAATACCGCAGCGTTCGAGTGTGTAAAAGATTGGATTTAAGCCGTGCACTGACTGTAAATGATAAGGAACGGACGAGTCTAGTTGATCAGAATGATATGCTTTGTAATATTTCATTCTAGACAGTTTAGCTATTTATTATGTATTCAAAACATAACGCTCACGTCGAAATCAGTGTCGGATAACAATACAGCAGGATAATCGTTGTATGGTCCGGTAACATCGTCGGTGACGTTTAAATGATCGAATGCTTCTCCTTTGAAAAGCTTCTCGAAGTCTCTGTTTTTTTATGATATTCGAGTGCTAGCGGACGACAGCCTCTGATTACACAACTATCTTTCCTGAGAGAATTTGATCTCCATCGTCACAACAGCTTATCTTTAGTTTATTTAACGATGAAGATAACAAAACAGTCATTTTTTGTTAGTTCTAAAGACGTGACAATTTGAATGAATTTTCATAGGTGAAGTCATCTACTAGTATAACGATATTATATATATGCAAATGAGCTCCATTTTTGCTTGACTAAAGTGAGAGAATCGATTTAGAAGTGCTCGGTTTCGTTTTGCAAATACGGATTACACTCGATGTATTCAGATGCAAAAATGACATTTTTTTTGTAATCCGATATTTATTTTGATATATTCTCTGCTATTAACAGTATTTTGACATTGCTTCATTTTTGTAGGATTGATTGATGGATCAGAATACTCTCCGACAATACGAACATCGCGTCGGATGCGTTCTAACCGGTGAAGCATTCTGTGATGGCTGCAATCATCGATTTGGGGAAGGTGAGATGGCATTTCGATGTTTAGAATGCAGTGGTTTCACATGTCCGGGAGCTGAGAAACGTCCTATTCGACAGACAGAAATTACGACTACAACTCGAATACAAGATGGAGCGGCCATTCAACTAGCAACATCGGAAACGGCGTTATTTAGTGGCTATGACCTATGTTTGACTTGTGCGAAAAAAACTTCCGTTCATTCGCATCATCGTTTTACTTTAGCGGTTTATCGTAAAAAGAATTCAACGTATGTGTTCAGCTAAAAGTATTTTTCTTTGTATTTAAAGCAATTGACTTGAACTGATTGTGTATTGACCGAATTAGGATCGATACAGTACAATCATACAATTTGATCCTGAGTTGTCGTTTCATTCCATAGCTACTTTATGCTATAACAAAATACCTCTTACGTTAAGGAGACTCTTATTGAATGACGTATTTGTTTACATAGTATTCAATCATTCATGTAGATTTTCTAAGGAAGTCATATTGCTTTTTATGAACATCAGAAAAGGATAGGAAATCCGCATACGTATTCTTCGCTCTTTCTGCTAGTCGGCCCGAGAAGAAAGTGTGTTCAAATAGGCAACAACTTTCATGGTGACGCTTTGTCGGAGATGTTACTATTAGGCATGCTGTCCATGTCTGCCTAAAAGATTTTGCTTTTGCTGAAGTGCAAAGGTGCTTAGAGAATTTTATCCAGTATTGGTATAAATAATCTCTTATAGAAAATTCACTGGTTAACACAAGAGTTACATAGTCGTCGTGTCTCTATAAGGTTTACATAAGTCTTAATCCTGGCATATATACATGTTCAATAACTTCTCTCTGTTTCTCTGTAAGAAAAAAGCCACGTGCAAAATAACCACGAAAATTAAGACAAGCAAAAAGCGCACAAGAGTTTTTTGCGTATTTTTATTTCAAATCGGGGTAAAGTTCGGAATAGTTTCATTAGATCATTATATGAATTTCTTACTTTCTTTATTCTATTCGAACTATTTGTTCCCACACCTAGTTTTGTATCAATTTCTACCCCTAGATATTTAAATGTTGTCACGTATTCAATTTCACTGCTTCTTAATGTCAATTTCGGCTTGTTAATAAGAACTGCGCTATGAGTTATCATAGCCTTCGTTTTAGATGTATTCACCGGTAAAATATATTGCTTTGAGGAGTTTTCAAGAGATTTAAGTGCTTCTTCGACTAAGTATACCTAGATATTCTGAATTATCGGAAAGTCTTTTTTCAATTACACCTTTGACTATCATCGCGAGATCATCAACGAAAAGATGGGATCTTACTTTAGCGAAATACGAAGGTAAAAAATGTATGTACAAACGAAATAGTAGTGCAGCCATTACACTTCCTTGTGGTGCATCTACAAATTTATTTTCTTTTACTTGCGTCAAACGAACGCAGTACTATTGATGAGGGAATATCATATTCACAAAAAGAAATGAAAAAAGGAATATTCACAAGTGCAGGAATTTACTGGATAATAGAAGAGATACATTAAGAAACAAACTAATCAACACATAGAACAGAACAAAAGAATGAAGGAGATTAAAAAAACCAGAGAACAAAGGAACAGTAGTTAGACGATAAAGAACATGTATAAGGCTATGGTCAGGTACTCTCCTGATACCCTCTCTCATCATTTTCGGATTCTCACATGACTTCATCGAAGCTAGATCCAAGATTGTTCTCCAAAAGTTTTCGTGAATCTCGATCGGTTTCGGCGATCTTCTACGTATTGATACGGTATGATTCATCAAACAAGGTTTTTTCAGATATTTTTGGTTCAATTCGATAAAAACAAATTTATGCTTTTTCAAAAGCCTACGTTAGTTTTCTGGAGACACGTTCTCGGTGAAATCTCACTCCCACCCACCCGGACAGCGCATATATGGTTCGATAGATCTTCTGATGCTCTATCAAATAAGATACTCCCTGAAGTCCAGAGATATCTAATTATGGAGGTTTTGAGTCTGGAATGCTAGGATGTTGAAACGAGTTTCCAGAGGCTCGCCATTGTAGGAAGAAGCCAAAATCTTTTCAAAAGTAGTGATTCTAATAGTTCTGGCGATGAAGAATTCAAATCTATCATCAGAATCTCTATAGCGCAAAGTAGTGCAAAACCATGTGTTTTACAAAGAACAACGTACTTAAAATGAAACGCTCTAGCGCGTACTTGGCATTTGGAGTACAGCTGTTCAACAAGACGTCCTGTAACTTTCGACCAAGAGCAAAAAAGTCCTAGAATTGATTATTACGCAAGCCCTGAAAGTTTCAAACGATTTGGCGAGAGTCGGCGTAAACGTGTCACGCATGTCATGGAATCACCCTGCTTTAAACCAATGGGTGTGTACTGAAATCAGTAAACTCCCTAAAAAGCACAGAAAATTCCTGAAGCATAAAGAAATCATCTTATTCTATGAAGTTTAAATATTTAGAAAAATTCAGATCGATTAATAAGCGTCGATTGAGAATTCAAATATTACATTTGAAATACGTGCAAGATTTGAGTCGCCGGATTTCAACTACTTTCCACCGAACAGGAAAACATTGGATATGATCCGTATAATCGGTATTTCGTAAATAAATCACGGAAACGTCATGGGAGTCCGTTTTCCGAGTCCTTCTTCAGGAATTCACGGGAACTTTTACGGATTCAGTCGGTTATCGTCGTAGAGCTTTAACATCGGACCACATTCTACGTCACAATGCTCATACCTGAAATTCAATCTGTTCTTCTTTTCTGATTTGGATAGCGTACAAGAGAGTCTTTTGATATACGTAGATCACCTAACAGGTAACGGATGAGTGTGTCTAACAGCGAGAGTAACATATTGATTCCACACTCACACTCTCTAGTTAGAAGAAAAAGAGATACATGAGTCGACTCTAAGACACAGAAACTAGAAAAATTATAGAACACTTTCTATTGTCTTCTTTCAACAGATCCTGCGCTCATTTTTGTAAACTGTATTATGAAAAGTAATTAAAACACATGTGTTGCTCTTTCATACCATAGGACTGAAAGGAGTTAACTTGTAAGTTTAAATATTCCAAAGGATGTCACATTGTCATACGTGTCCGACAAATTTTCGTGATCCATCACCAGATCATATTTCTCACCAGCTTTCGGTGGGCAAAGGACGACGGAAGAAGAATCAAGTTTCCCTGCAACAAGCATTGGTGGGCCCAAACCACTGTTTTTTATAGATATTAGTTCAGCATTAGGATAGTTCAATTCAATATTATGTTTGCATTGCCCTAAAGCCGCTTCGTGTGAGACTACGTATTTAACATTCAGACCAGAAAGATCTGAATTTAGTTTAAACGCGGAATGTTTGATAGTTAATTCGACTCTTGAAACTTCTGTCAAATCTTTGTTGCCAATGGCGTTTTTAGTTTCTGTAACCTGTCCGATAATTGAGTTTGAAACTGCCATAATGCCAAGGTCAATTTCTTTACTGAGCAAATGGTTCACCACATTTTCAGAAGTGGTTAACGGAACTAAAACATAGTTTTCTATTTTATTTGATTCGACGAATCTTTTGGCGGCAATATAATTGTTACTGTTTTCGACACCTTGATAGCCAATTTTAATCATGTTGTTTTGGAATTATTTCTACAAATTAAAGATAATCTAAAAGAATAATATGTCTCGGTCGGAGTTTACTATCTAATTAGAGTAAAACCTCTTATAACGGACACTTTTTTTTTAATTCATACGATATTTACTGGAAAGGAGTTCTTGTTACCGAATGTTGAGTTTTAGGTATGTCAAGGATGAAAAGGTAGGGAAAGAAAAAGAACAGTCAATAGCTTAGATACATAAAGCAAACTTTTGACGATGCGCCGACAATCCTTGACTCGGCACATGCCTGGTCTGGAACGGTTTGTTCGTACAATATATATATAACAATCAGCCAAATTGGCGATCAACAATTGAGCTGCTTCCTTGAAAGTCGACCGTGGCTTATGTGGAATGGTTCATATGTAGACATCTAGAATAATAAAGATTTATAGCTGAATGAAGATGAATACAATGAGTGAATTATATAAATGTATTTTACAATTATTTTTTGTTTGTCGGAAGTACAGGTATGATAGTAAGAATAATAATGTGCCGAAAAAAATTGAAGTAAAGATGAATTGATATACTGATTCAAAGTAGTTCCTAGTCGATTCCATTGATATTTGTTCAATATCATACTGTGCGCTTTGATTCATATTCAACTAATGACTCTCAATGGTAGTTTCTTAAATCTTTCTTGAAATTGTTATTCCAGTGGAATGTCAAAAGTATGGACATATGTACACAGATACAGAATATTTTTCACATATATTTTCTATAGTAATTAAGGAAACAAATATAGCTATTCTTCGACTATTCCATATCAGAATATACCACTAGCGAGTCAATTTGAATAATTTCTGTGTAAAATGAGACTGTAAGGATGTTATTAGTAACAGCATACAAAATAAAAGTCCTTTTTCGAACGAATGCATTCATACACTAATATTATCAGTCTTTGCTTTTTGAAGAAGTATTTGGTCAGCTAAAACCAATGCTGTCATCCCTTCGACGATCGGAACTGCTCTTGGTACAACGCATGGATCGTGGCGTCCTTTTGCATTCAACAAGCATGGTTCACCATCAAACGTACAGGTCATTTGAGTTTTGCCAATGGTAGCTGGTGGCTTAAAAGCTACACGAAACAGAATTGGTTCACCATTACTAATGCCACCTTGTATACCGCCGCTATTATTCGTTTTCGTTGTCAATTTCGTATTACAAGATGATGCGTCATTTGTGAACATATCGTTATGTTGTGAGCCTCTCATCTTCGTTCCTTCGAATCCACTTCCAATTTCGAATCCTGAAACAAAGAATGCCATTTCACTCATTCTTTCTCAGGTTAAATTTGTAGTAACCACTTTTGCAAATTCCTGAGAATGCAACAAGAGAGGATCTGCCCGCTCATGAAAAAGCCCTATAGCACATTTAAAAGGAGAGGAACGCTTAAAAACATGTATAAATCCAGTTCTAGTTAATAGTCAACTGTCATGGACAAAACAATGCTCGTTTTACTTGATATAAATATCATATTTGGGAACGACCAAGAAAACAAGTAAATTTGCGTATGTTCCGAACTTTTCCGCAACCTGCTGTCTATGAAAATTCAATCTATGATTTTCTCACCTATATGCGAACAGAAGACTTAAATCCAGATCACTATTTTATTGCCTTCTCACTTACACGGTAACTTCGAGTAGCGTTTTACAAACAGAAAACTTGGTTTTAATAACAAAAATATGACACAAAAGCGATGTAGCTGTATTTAACTTAGGATAGAGTTTCAGAACTACCTCTTATATTAAATTATGATTAATACGTAAAAAGCCAAACTTCTAAATACTTTTTTATTCATTGAAGTTCGTCTTTCTGATATAATAAGACCTATTTGATTACAACACGTCGAATTGGTGCAAACGATGATACGCTAGTCTCGTAAACTTCATTATACGTACAGTTTTCCAACGGAGAGTTACTATTATAAAGGACGTGAGTCTCAGCATGAGCAAGATCAAACTTTATAGTAATCGTGTTCGAATTCTCAGGATACGATCTTCTTTCGTACATATGTTCGGTCTTCTCTTCAGCTTGGTGCGATGGCAAGAAGCTTTTCCTGAACAGCTGCTGAAAAATGTATTTGTATGTAATCTCTCGTAAATGCTATTGCAATCTTCGACGATTTCATCTAGGCCCACCAATCAGAAGTCAGAATCGATTCCTCTAGAACTACAGTCTTTGAGTGGAGTTACCTTTAGTGGCTGGTATCGAGAGCATAGCATGTGCCAACATAGCTTCTAACTTATCGAATACTGGCTCACCAATACCAGCAGGAATGTTTCGACAGATACACGTTATGATTCCACCAACTGAATCTTGATCATTCAACGCTGCTTCTACTTCGTGAATCATCAATTCAGCTGTTTTCTGATCTGGACAGCGCACTAAACTTTGATCTATTTGTGTCCGTTTTAGTGCAGACTCTTTTAGTAGCGACTCAGTTTCTGGTGGTATTTGAATTCGCCCAATGCCACTTACATAAGCAATAATTTCTATCCCATAACACTCAGATAACCATTTTTCAGCGATAGCCCCAGCTGCAACCTACAACGATGAAATCGAAAAAATCGTGTACGCGGCGCATACTGTACTACGCGAAATTTACTCTTCCTATCGTTTCTCTTGCACTCGATCGTCCTCCACCGGACGCTGCCCGAATGCCATATTTCTTCTGATAAGTGTAATCGGCATGCGATGGACGTGGTATATCGAGCATAGAGACATAATCTTCTGGTTTACAGTCTCTATTCGGAACAAAGAGACAAATTGGTGTTCCCAGTGTTGTATTCGCTTCTGTACCAGATAATATTTGAACTAAATCTGCCTCGCCACGTAATGTCGTAAGTTTTGATTGTCCTGGTTTACGACGATCTAATTGTGCTTGTATATCGCTTTCGTTTAACTTCATTCTCGGTGGAACACCTTGGACAATGCATCCAACGCCAGCACAGTGACTTTCACCAAATGTTGTCACTTGAAATATAGTACCGAATGTCGACATATTTGGCTCTCAACAAAATGATATTGCTGTTGATCGATGATAATTAGCAAGCAAACTCTATTAGCGATTCTTTCAATCTAGAATCAAAGCAAGTAGATGAACTTTTTCCACCCCGTTGATTCTGATAGATTATCTATTAAACGAAAGACTGCACCCTCTAAAGTTCCAATAGTTATAATTCTTTTTAAAATATACAGTACCACTATTGAATTTTTTACATCGTGCTAAACCGGCTAAGGGTCGAGTGAATGTGTATCTGATGAATTTTATATCCTCGAATAATACAAAAAAGATAATCGCTGTATAACCGGTCTCCGTAAAAACTGCTCTTAGTTCTACAATATTAATCGATGCACAAAAAGTTACCTGTATGTTATTATCTCTCAACGGTCTTACTTGAGGTACCAAACCAAATTGCATTTAGGGTAATGAGGAGATTAATATTCCATTGGTATAGTTACTTATCGATGAATCTTCTACTGCTACTATGGAGATATATATATATATACATCATTTTCCACCGAAAATTGAGTGAAGGTTCCGTGCATTCAGTTTAACATAGAAACTAGATATAAGAACGGACACAATAGTGACTGGTACTGAAAAGAAAATGCAAGTAACTACTTTGCACCGACCATATGTACCTCCGTTGCCCTCACTTTTAGCGCGTGATTTGTGTCCTTTGATAAAAAATACACGTCTCACCTGTCCATTGCGCTCTTCGCTTTTGTAATAGGCCGATACAAGCGATATTCATCAGTAATGCATCATCGGATGTACATCTTTTTTCTTTCGTTCTGCTCATTTTTCTCTCTGACGCTCTCGCTTCTATATTTGTTAGATTTCTTAGATTAATTGAAATTTGTATTGCTGGTTTTCATCCATGCACGACTTCTAACTAATTTTCTAAACATAATCGCGATATCAAGCAGGAATCCGCCGCTTTCTTTTCCATTTTCTTCGTACATTTTGCTCTTCATCGGTGGCTAATGCTCCTTCAAGAGATGAGTTCTCTTCGTCAGTGAAATGTTTTCACTTAGATTTTCTTCGTAAACCTAGATGTTCATTCGTTGTTAATGTTTCCCCAAAATCTGAATTTTCTTCAGCAGCAATCCAATCTTCGTCCGACATAGCGGCGTAGCCACAGGTGGGCTGGGTGGGCTGAGCCCGCCCTAAAAATGTTTGAGCCCACCTAGAAACAATTTTTATGTTTTTAAGAAAACTTACCATAAGAGATAGGAAAAATGCTACATCATATTGTTTAAAAAAAGTAAAAGTTTTGAATGGAAATTCTTAATCGTTATCCATTGCTAGTTAGTCCAATTTCGTCAGTATGTGCTAATATGTGTCTTTCATAGTTCACTATATTCTTCAAGTTCTCTATGACATATTTTATTCCCTTTGTTGTTTCGCAACCTTTTTCACTCTTCCTATGTCCTTTTCTCGTATGTTCTCCATGCTCTCTTTCTGCATGATATCAGTTATCATATTCATCCACCATGGCTTTTTCGTATGACGCATCCACTAGATAGCGGCGTAGTCACAGGTGGGCTGAGCCCACCCTACCAAGAAACCCTGACTACGCCGCTAGTTCTTGCTGCAGCATTTTATTTCTTCTTTTATTATTTCTGATCACAAAGACAATTCGGAGGAATAACACTATCGCTATTCTTCAATGTAGAAGATCTGTCTTATACAATACAGAAAATAATCTTTATGCAGAACGGAAAAGAGTAGAGAACAAACAGTGACAGTACAAGGTAATATTCATAATGCGAACATTAGTAACAAGATAACATTACGCAAGGATACTAACTCATAAGATACGACATCTAGATGGACGTGTCTGTTGGCATACAAGTGGCCTAACATCTTCAATGCTCTATCTCTGTTGATGGAACATTGGAAATTTCATTTATTCGTTGTCCAGAAAAAGAACTGCATTTTTCCTATGATTTTATTAGAGAGAATTGATGATAAGATTGATTTACATGCATATTTTAACTTCAAAAAAAAGATCACGCCACATATTCTCAGTGGAGTGGAATAAGGAGTGATCTTTGAAAAAAAATTGTCAGAGTTTATACGATCATTGGTGATGGTTAACATTGGTGTTTGAAACGGATTCAGTACTAACAATCTTTGATTGATAGTTACGATGTCGACGATCAGCAACAGATTCTGCTAGTAATTGTAATTGCGCTGTGCTCACGTCCCAGCCTAAGCATGAGTCAGTTATCGATTGGCCGTATTTCAATAAATGTTTTTTCCCTTCGAGAAAGGTTTGACGTCCACAGACGAGATTCGATTCAATCATGACGCCCATAATTGATTGATCGCCGTTAGCTATTTGCTGGCAAATATCTTCGATTACATGTTTTTGACGTTCGCCATCTTTCAAAGAGTTTCCATGGGAACAATCAATCATGATCTTACTCGTTACATTATTCGCTTTTAACCGTTTTTGAGTTTCCATGACGTGCTTCGATGAATAGTTAGGACCTGTCACACTGCCGCCTCGCAACACTACATGTACATCTTCGTTGCCCGATGTATAGCAGCTAACAATGTTGCCCCAATGATCGATTGACAACGAGGCATGGGCCATTCCACTCGTTACACATGCGTCTACCGCCGTTTGCACGCATCCGTTCGATCCATTCTTGAAACCGATCGGTATATTTAAACCACTAACTAATTCCCGGTGTATTTGCGACTCGGTTGTGCGAGCACCGATTGCAGCCCAACTGACCAAGTCGGACACGTAGGGTACGATCATCGGTTGTAAAAATTCACAAGCACAAGGCAGATGGAAACTGTTAATCGTGAGTAATAATTGTCGAGACAGTTGCAAGCCGTCACTGATGTTGCTCGTGCCGTCTAAATGAGGATCGTATACGAGGCCTTTCCAACCGACTGTGGTACGTGGTTTTTCAAAATAGACTCGCATTACAATTAATAATGTTGACACGTGTTTTTTAGCAACAATGCTCAATTTTTTTGCATACTCAATCGCTTCGGTGATATTATGTATTGAGCAAGGACCAATCACCACCAATAAGCGATCATCCTTGCCATGAATAATGTCTGATATTTCTCGACGCGTTTTAGAAATAAACCGTTCTATGTCATGTGGACATGGGTGTTTGGCGATCATGGCACCTGGATTGGTCAATATTTGTGAATGTACTACTCCTTTAAAATGAGTTTGTTCTGAATCATCGACGGTGTTAGTCATATGTGACAGTTTTGTAATGGGTTAAATTTAGTAATCAATTTTTTATCTACAAGAGATCTACACTATTACAGAGGTGCTGAAGTTTATTGCAATGTGTTTTCAAAGAAGCATAATTATTTTTTTCTCACTTGCGCATGCATATGGTTCGCACCTAATGTGCTCAGTTGGTTTAAATTATAGAGACTCTTTGCCTGCTTTAGTTTTTGATTGATTCTCAGCCAATACGAGCGAATAAGATATACGAATTGGGATAGAAAACGCGAGACAATGAACAGGTAGATCGACCCACTCTCAATTTCCTGACAGTAGTACATACATATATGGACACAGATAGTTAATTTCTAATTCTTCTCAGTTTCACTAGCTCCATAGATCTGTATTCTGGCAAGAAGTTTGTTTAAAAATCCGAGAACCCGTAAAGAGTCTTATTCGAAAGAGCAAATAACACTACTACAGAAAACCGTTCGTGAACTAACTAGAAAAAGTAAATGCAAATCAGGCTTCCACATCGCTTCTAAAGCAATTCAAAATACGCTATTTTACGTACTTAGTAGCTCGGAACTCCTTGACTAAAATGAGATAAAACGTAGCATGTAGCTCAGAACAGAACTTCATCGAATCCTTATTACGAAAGTTTGCTGTACAGTTAATTCTATATATCGCGCTAAAAGCATTACAGAAGCCTGAAATAAATTATTATTATTATCAGTGTTTTATGTAATATTTGTCCGTGGGGAATTTTCGTCAGGAGATTGGTTACAGTGATTCGATCAATACATTTACTTACTACAGTACACTCCTACTCTATTCTGGTACATAGATACAATATACTTGCGTACGTTCGAACTCGGTTAATTTGCATTTAAAGACTGGCACTAAGTACGCGTGTATTCAAGTTTTACTTGCGTACCGTATTAGGGAAAAAATTAATGTGTTGCTTTGATTAATGTTTCCTATAGCCATATCTTCTAGTTTCGTTGTTTAGTGACAGCTATAGAAAGAAAGAAAAAAAAAGGAAAAGTAGCTACAACGGAGTCGTATTTACACATAAATTGATATTATCCAATATACGTAATTTATGTTTTGTGTGAAAGATAATGCAAAAGGGACGCCCAAGGGAAGATTAAAAACCCAGCAAATCTTTCACACCTACATTAACACATTCAGCACGATGTGTTATCTAAAGTCTCGTTTTTGTTTCAATTACTTATTGCATAACGTGATGTTTCTCAGTGAAACAGTCAAGACAACAAAACTTGTTGCAATCAGAACAAAAGGTTGATATTTTCTTTGCTCTTGAATTACTTGCTTCTTTTGATTGTTCCTGTCTGTTTTTTACATAGCAGCCAGCACAGCGCCTTCGATTATCGCGGGTAGATCTTTCTCATTCCTCAAGCATGTGATTAGCAAGTTTACATTTCATCTGACCTGTGGATTATTGTCTCAGGCCAGGTTTCAGATTTTCGAATGGCATACCAACTAGTAAAGATACCACAAGGCTTCCACGAAACTTCAGACTGGTCACATCTCTTGCGGTATAGTTTTCTTTGCGTATCAAATATCAGTTCACATACCACTTTTCGATCATGAGTTGCCTAATTCGACTCAAATTATAAGTCGAATTAGGCAGCTACTTTTTTCATCGGAACTTCCCGATTCAAGGCCCATTTTTATCAAGATCATCGTCTGAAGAGCTCACTTCGCTAAGTGAACTACCAATTTATTTTGTCTCTGTTTCTTCAGACGATATGTGAATTATTTTCAACTCTCAGTTGCTTTTGTATATAAAAATACAGGAAGACAAGAACAATGAATAAAAAAAACTGCGCATTCCGTTTTCTTGTCGCGCACGTACCGTCTATATAATGTAAAAGAATGAAAAAGAGACGTCCGAAATTTTTCATTCAGTTGCGAAAAATACTTCCTTAAGTGATGATACAAAAAATGGAACGATGAATATTAATGTAGAAGACGTCGAAAGCCTCATTAAATACATTTATTAGAAGTTAACTATCTAGGAAAATGAATTTCCCCAGAAATTTAAAAAAAAAGAATCATGTTGAATGTGTTAATCAATAACACAACTGCTAGAATTATTTTTCATATTTCATGCTAGTTTAAAAAGATTATGATTCGCGAACAAGCATTCTTCAAAATAATTTGTCATTATACACTCGTACTAAGTACAAATGTACTCAGGTATATTGTATTTACGTACCACTATTTTACTGTTGAAGCTATACTGTGTAATATAGATTCCAAGTAAAACGTGCGAAAAAGACTTTGTATTTTATACAAACTGTACTAATATCTCTCTCTTTTAGACAATGCAGTAGATAATCTGAGTTTTCTTCGCAGGCACTGCTCACGACCCAAGTCTCAGTTGCTTCGACTGAGCAGAATATTAGTAACTCAAATACCAAAGCCCTAGTTTGCGTGATTCAATTTAGTTAAGAAAATGGTAGACGCGGCTAACTTCTAAGTGCTCCTCACTCCGTACTACATACCCAGCAAAAATGTGATCGAAAAGTGAAGTTGTCTTTCTACCAGTAAACGAAATTTATGTTTTTTCAAGGATTTGAATGTACAGTGGTAGAAACTGAGCGAACGAAGCATCAAAGTACAACATATCATGCGTTGAATGCACAGTGTACACCCAGCTGTGTGCGTGATAGCGAAAGAAATAGATGTACCAATGCGCATGCACAAAAAGTGTGTATTCGAGGACGCATTGTATAAGTGAGGAGGATCGAACAAACGTTTGTGAGTATCTATGCACCTTTACTCAGTGATGAGTATAATGAACATCATATTCAACCACATGAGACTCTTCGATCACGTCATCTGACGATCAGTTGTAGAGAAAGAAGAGTATTAAAAAGTCGAGTATGGCGAACATTGTGTCAAATGAACGTAAGACACTAACAATCTCTATTTAGAGCTATCCCGGAATATTGCATGTAAGAGACAATTGCTTAGCGAAAAACGTTTATCTCCGTCAGCGGTTTCGATTTGGTTCAAAATTTCGCGACACTTAAAACTAACTGAGATAGAAAATCCCTATAAGTTTCAGCTCAAATTGACTCACTATTCCTGACAAATCGACATCGTCCTGAAAGACAGTCTGTTCATTTCTCTATTTCTTTCAATACGGTCCAGCATAGTAGAACTCGACTTTTTTAGAAAACCTAAACGTTAAAGCCGCTTTTCTTTTGATCATAAATACTTTCTGGTATATCTATCCAATCAATTTCGAAATGAAAGGACTTGGACGTGTAAGACCTCAAATCGGCCCGTTTGTATTTTTCGCACCAAATCCTATCGAACTTTTATATCAATGGAAAGAGAAAGTTCAGACGCTATGAACAAGATCATTGATTTGCAGCCATCAATTGAATAATTGATCTTTAAATAGTGAGCTTGATTCTATAAAAAAAAAGTATAAAACAATAGAAGTTAAATTATGATTTTAGTAGTTCTTGAATAGGGCTGTCAAATGGGCACGGGCAGCATTTCGAGTATTTCGGCTTTTAAATTAAAATATTCGTTGAAAGATAAGATTAGATAAAACATACAACAGATATGATGGTGGTATACCAGTGTATTGGATTTCTGCCTCCTTAAATCGAATAATCAATCGATGGTACACATATAGAATTGACGGCCTATTCAAAAGCTACCAAGTTCATAATTCATGACTAAAAAATCAATGATTCTGTTTATAGCGTCTCATCTTCAAAACTCGATCGAACCCCGATGAGTTTGGTACCAGAATGTTCGTCTGAAATTGCTCTTTCCGTTGATATAAAGTTCGATAGAGTATCGTGCGAAAAATACGAACGGGCCGATTTAGGGTCTTATACGCGCCCGTCCTTTTTCTGCCGATCAAATCAATTTGTCGTTGATAGTATACTGTTCTTCACAATTATAAAGTGTTGCATACATTTAAGATTACTATGACCAGTCAGTCGTCTGCTCTTCCGCATTACGAACCTCATACAAATTTATCTATTAATAAAAAATCTGCTAGTGAATGTCGTAATTTATCAGATATTAGATATGAAATAGACACCATTGATCATTTCATTGTAAAATTACTGCACCATCGTCTCCAATATGCTTTGGAAACATTAAAATTCAAGTTAGATGGTAAACCAATACCGGACAACAAGCGTATGATTCAACAATTAAATCAAAGAAAAGAGTGGGCGAAATCATATGGGCTAGATCCAAAATATATAGAATCTTTCTTCAAAAGAATGCTTGATTGGTATATTTCACAGCAAATTACTTATTATAAAAGTCAGAATCCGGACCAAGCAAATATTGAAATTAAAGTTTGCTCATTGAATGAATTAAAAGCAATTGAATTTGGTTTGTCTTGGATTAATATTTCACAATATTGTCAACTGCTAAGCTCTGGCTACCGAAAAGCAAGAGAAATATCTAAGCCTGTTCTGGTCAGTTTTATCCAAAAGACATCCACATATTCAGACGACCATAGCTTAGACAATGTTCATCCACTTTATCTGTTTGAACGATCCCGGCGTCATTCTCTATCGCATAGCTTTGTCTTTGCTCAACCGTCACAACAATTTTCCATGTTGGCATTCGGAAGCGTTCAACAGTATGATGTCAATCAAACATATTTTTCTTTTAACAAGATGAATAAGAAAATTGCCGATTGTACCTATGAAGAGTTCTATTCAGAAGTTAAAAAAATTGTCGCCGATGGTTGGAAGCGTTTGTTAGCTGATGCAATCATTGAAAATTGTGCTCCAGAAGATTTCCCTGGCTGTGGTCCCACATTGACTGGTGGTTTATGTTATGACCATCAGAATATCTCCCGATCTGGTAAATGGTCTAACTTTGATGAGGCATCATTTATTTTACCACGAGTTCAGTTCACTGAGAAAGGTCTGAATAGATATGCTACATTCAACACCGTCATAATGCAATGCGATAAATCGGAAAATGAAATCGAATTTATCAATGCAGAAATCATTTCGTTGTTGGAATTTTGCGGCAATTTATTAAACGGCACAGAAGAATATTTAGAAAGTGGGGTTCACACTACATCGTTTAGTGGTGATAATGTTACCGAGCTCACTGAAGAATCAGTGGGACCTTTGGCGATTCGGAAGCAGACAATTCACGATAAGGCTGTGGAGATCATCAGTGGTGATTTTGGCAAAGTAGGTTTAGCACGTGAAGCTATAATCGAAACCGATCAAAAAGGTACTCGTTTTAATGTTGGTTGGTCATTAAAGCGCTTTAGCTTACTGCATCCGTCCTTCTATCTATTTGGCTTATCAAGACAAGGCAGCTGCTTTTTTGGTGTTGCACCCTCACAATTAGTGCGACTGCATGATAAACAAATCGAAGCAAAAATATGGAAAACCGAATTACTCAACTCTGATAAACAACGGCATGAACACAGTTTGGTGATCGAAATGTTACGAAGTAAGTTAGAACGAAGCACAGAAGCAAACTCATTGGTAATACCAGATAATCCGGTGGCATTGGAATATAACAATAAACAACATCTTTACACACTTGTGCAAGGCACAATTAGGAAGGAAATAACACCGTTTGACTTAGTTGAAACATTACATTCAACATCCGCTGTTGGCAGCTTTCCACAATCAGATGTATTGAAATTTATTCCTAAAGAGGAAAATTTAGACTATGGATGGTATGCTGCACCGATTGGATGGATTGATGCCAACAACAATAGCGAATTTGTTGTAGCTTCAGAATCAGCGTTGATAAACGAAGGATCAATCTCGTTCTTTGCTGGCTGTGGTTTCGTAGCTGATTCCGATTCAGAAGACAGGCCTCACGAAACTCGCTTAAACATGGAATCAATGCTATTTACGTTGAGCGAAAAGCAAACCTTGTAGATCAAAAGAGAAATTCAGCCCATTACAGCGAACGATAAAAGGACATTTAGATCGACGTCGCAAGTATTCATATATCAACGCTCAATTCAACAAAAACGTCTTTCGCGAAACGAGCAGAAATGACTATAGTTTTGTTGTGATATTCAGTTTACATTAAAGAAAAATAATAGTTTTGAAACTGACAAGTGACACTTCGTTTGGAGTATATATACCTGTGCCAAGATATCTTCCATAGAGTGTCAAATGACTGTGGACCAGATCTAATAAGAGCAGCGCGCCTTTTCCCAATATAGATGGAGAACATGACTACTATGCATCAAAGGATAGAGATTATGTACATTTCAAGATCACGAGTTGTTTCCTAAGGTTCTGATTGTTTGGGTCAGTCTCCGACTGCATCAGATGAGCTGATACAAGTATTTATTTCATATTTTTATATGACTTGATATAAGTATTATCACTGTTTCATTACTTACAATGTTCTAGTAAATTCATTTGAAGTCGAATGAATATAACAGTAGTATGTAAAATATGTACTACAAAAGAGTTTATATTCAAAGTTCTCAAAAATATCATCGACCTAACATCTACGTTTAAACAAATACCAAGAATTGTTATTCATCGAGTAGATGGAAAAACTAATCGTCAGATATATCTGTCGATAGCTCAAAGAATCCATTCAGTAAAAACAAGTACTTTTCATAAAATTACTAATTCAGTGAACATGTGAATAGAGATCCATGGTGTATTAAATAATTATCTATCAACCGATTTATTTCTATTATATGCCATCTGCTCTTTCTCATTGATGAGAATAATTAAAAATAGAAACTTACACTTTATAACTTGTTATATAAGTTTACCATTTTGAACAAATTCTCGCGACATATCTTGATGAAAAATACGCTTTCGCTCTTCTATTACTGTGGGTAGATACAAGCAAGTCAATGAAGGATATAGCTGACTTTATGTACAACTTAAAGAAAGCTAATCAGCATTTATCTGAACGGTAAGACACTCGAAACTAATATATTAAGTATGAAATCTAAAGGTAAAGATAATCTTTGTGATTTTTAACTCAACGACAATTAGCGACCGTTCATGTCTATAAAAATCAGTAAAAGTTGATTCCAAGTATAGTTGTCGAATGAGATTTTCCAGAAAAATACAATCGTTTTATCTGCAGAATTCTATCGAAACCGACTCAGGCGTCAGCGGAGCCAGTCACCAGAATGATCGACCTGGTAATCAACGACACCAATTTTGGACAAAAAAAGGCATGTGATTATTCAGAAAATCTCCGGTTGATGTTGCTACATTTACACTATGTGTATCGGAAATCATGATGCAGAAGTTCAATGCTCACATTTGATATTTTGCTGGATAATCATGCAGGTAGAAAAGGCATGAGGCGATCAAAACTTGCTTAGATAAATTGTGTTAAAATAAATACATAGATATAGACTACGGGTGGCATTTTTCATTTATTTTACCAGCACCTGACAAATGCTATTGCTGACTTATAAGGATCGCAAATCTACTTAGTTCGTAGTTACGTAGCTTACATAAAGTAAATGTGCTACCCCTACTGCAAAACATATGTCTCCAGTGGTCTACTCAAGTATTAAACAATTAGCGTCTATGACTGCTTCGCTATACAAGCGTTTTCTGCAGAAACATAGGCGGCGGAGCCATCAGGTCTGGGTAGGTTCAAATTAGGATACATTAAAGGCTTGGATAGGCTCGACTGCACGGGAAAATCAAGATCATCAGCTAACTTGCAGTTCAAAATATTTTATTTGAGGAAAATCTCTCCAAGATTTTCTCCACTTTCGAAGGATATTTCTTCTAAATTCCTTTCCTTTCAACTTGCAAGAAAGATTCTTTTTTCTCTCCTTTGTTTTACGAATTTTTAAAAGTATCTCCCATTTAAAAATATTTCATTATTTTTCGCTAGTATCTGAAAAAGGTTCTCGAAGATTTTAAAAAAAAATTTGAATTCGTATGATAGTTAAGAAATCTAAATAAAATTCTAACCTCTCTCACTCCCATCAAAGGATAGGTTTGTCTATTTTTTTTTGAAAACTTTTCACGAGCTCTAGAGCTGCTAGTTTGAAGTACGAAATGGAAGGATTAGTTAGTTGCTGTTGACAACGTAGCTGTTATTAGGAGCGAAAAAACGTCGATAACTATTCTTACCATTAGCAAAAACAGAAACTCTACCGAATGGCTTTCAGAAGTCACTATTGACATTAACTAGACAGAAATAAACGCGAGGATGTCTATAGTCATTTGGTAGAAATCAATGTTATTTTTTACGTGAAAATCAAATTAAAAGCGGCAACTTATCTGCACTTTTCATCAACATAGAACAATTGAGAGTAATGTAGACCTAACTTTTATTGTTTCTGGATATTTCTCCGATTTTCTAAACTACTCTTCCCTTGTAAGATAGATTTGCTGATCAATGCACTTGTATACTATATATGAATGTATTGGACAGAGTATTAAAAAGTACAATGGGCTTAGTCATATTCTTATGCGCTTTGATCCTTTCGAATGTTTTACAATGGGAGCTGTGTTTTTTTTCTGAATATTTTCGATTGAGTTAAATGAACTAAGCCATATAAAAGGGATAGTTTCGAAAAGAAAAAATGAACAGAACGAAAAAAAGTCCTATAGAAAGAAGAAAGTGTATGCATCCGATCACGCATTGATGATAAAGATCGCTTGTACTATCACATCGCACAAACAAACAGAACGAGCGATATAATCGACAGGTGAGTTGTGTATCGAAGGATACAAGTCATGCGCTGATAGTGAGGATAAAATACGTACAGATGGTCGGTACAAAGTGGCGATAGCTACTTCCATTTCGTTGCAGCGCAAATCACTATCGATCGATTACCGGATGAACATGATGCATACATCACAGAGGTTGGATACTTTTTTACTTAGAAATTTCAAGTACATAGTACATTTATTTGTACTTGCAAGGCGTAATTAAGTATCGATACCTAGGTACAATTTACCTGAGTATAATTGTTAGTCGAATATGATTGCTCAATAGTGGTCTTACTGTGTCTAAACATTGTTAAAACCACCGAGCACGGATACACTATTTTTCAGATCTCTAATCCTCGTAACATCTAGAACAAAGTGAAGAGATTGCTTTTGATCTGTCAGACAAATTGTTTTCGTTTCTTTTAGATTGTCGAGTACCACTAGATTTATACGTACTGTCACATTACATTACAATCTATTATGAATAACCAACATTCGAGCGATATACTATCAATAGATACATACAATATTCGTATTGGATATGGTTTCCTTCATGAGCTATCAGACTACGTTATTACTTTGTCACCAGTTCATGAGAAATATGTGTTGATTACCGATGAAAATTTATTCAGAGTTTATGGAAATACGATCGTCAACAGTTTTAAAAAGAATGCTATCGAACTACTCTGCTATGCTGTATCACCAGGTGAATGTAGCAAAAGTCGCGAGGAAAAGTCAAATATTGAGGATTTCATGCTTGCCAATAAGTGTCATATAGATACTATAATAGTAGCATTTGGAGGTGGTGTTGTAGGTGATTTAGCTGGATTTATTGCTTCAACATATATGCGAGGTATCGATTATATCCAGATTCCCACAAGCTTTTTATCGATGATTGATAGCAGTATTGGTGCCAAAACGAGCATTAACGTAGGCAAATATGGAAAGAACCTGTTAGGATCATTTTACCGCCCGAAAGCTGTTTTAATTGATACTCAACTATTAGAAACATTGTCAGCGAGAGATTTATGCAATGGAATGGCTGAAGCAATCAAGATTGCGTTGATTATCGACAAGCATTTGTTCACATTTATTGAAGCGAATATCAATCAAATTCTTGAAAAAAATACAGAGATTATGAAGAAACTTATTTATGAGTGCATAAAACTGAAGGCAAACATTGTTATTCAAGATGAAAAAGAAACGTCCGGATTACGTTCAATTTTAAATTTTGGACACAGCATTGGACATGGCATTGAAATATTATCTAATGGGAAGTTATTACATGGTGAATGCGTATCGATTGGTATGTTATTAGAGGCAGAATTATCTAGAGATAAAGGCTTTTTGATCAATTCAAATGCTGTAATAAGTCGTTTAAACAATATTTTGAAATCTTTCCGTTTACCAACAACAGTACCGTCTCATATGTCTTTTGAAGACATAATTGAAAAAATGTCAGTTGATAAGAAAAATCGTAACGGTAAGAAACAGCTTGTTATACTGACAAATATTGGCTCAGTTAGAGCTTCACCACGCTATACAACAGCCATTGACGATCAAGATCTCATTAATCTATTAGATACAAACGTGGCCTTAGTTGCAGACGCCATGAATATGAATGGAGCAACAGTAAATGTACCAGGCAGTAAAAGTATATCAAACCGAGTACTTCCACTATGTGCATTAGGTGCTGGTGAATGTCGAGTACATGGTCTACTTTATTCAGTTGATACTCAGACAATGTTGATCTGTTTACGACAATTAGGTATACACTATCACTGGGATGACAATGAGGTCGTCGTTATACATGGAGTAAGCGGCAAACTAAATCCCGCGGATACATTGACGCTATATTTAAACAATTCGGGCACATGTAGTCGATTTTTAACAACTTTATGCACTATTTTACCAGCTAAAACTGAAATAATTCTTACTGGAGACGACCGTTTAAAAGAGCGCCCAATTAAAGATCTGGTTGATGCACTAGTGCAAAATGAAAACAGCATTGACTACTTGAATGAGCATGGATGTTTACCGATAAAAATCACAAGCAATGGTGGAATTAAAGGTGGAGAGATAAGAATGAATGGGGATGTATCATCACAATACATAACGAGTCTTTTGTTAATATCACCATTTGCTTTAACGCCTATGGTCTTAAAACTTAATCAAGCTAAACAAATTGTTAGTAAACCATACATCGACATGACAATTAACCTCATGAAAACTCAGTTCGGTATTCCTATTGATGACAGTGAAATGTTCTCATACACTATACCCAACTCGGGCCCATATAAAAACCCACCAAAAATACAAATCGAAGGTGATGCCTCGTCAGCAAGCTATTTTCTAGGAATAGCTGCTGTCCATCCCGGTCTAACAGTAACCGTCGCTAATATTGGTTCTAATAGTTTGCAGGGAGACAGCCGCTTTTGCAGAATATTGGAGATGATGGGATGTCATGTTACGCAAACGGAAACAACGACAACACTAACAGGTCCAAAACAGTTGCAAGCCATTACTGAAGAGATTGATATGAATACGATGACAGACACATTCATGACATTAGCGTGTGTTGCCGTATTTGCTCGTGGTTTAACTCAAATAAGAAATATATCAAATCAACGTCTGAAAGAATGTAATAGAATCGAGGCTATTGTAGCCGAATTGCGAAAGTGTGGTATTAAAGCTTCAGAAACAGATACTGGCTTGGATATAGAAGGCAATAACAACGAAGATATAGAAAAATCCGCTTTAATCCACTCTTATGATGACCATCGCATTGCTATGTCATTTTCTATAGTGGCTAGTCGTGGTCGAAGACTTCGTATTAATGACAAACGTTGTGTCGATAAAACATATCCGGAATTTTGGTTACATCTGAATAAGGTATTTGGTCTCAAAGTTATATCACCATCATTAATCTTTTATGAAACTGTAGAAAATATCAAAAGTAAGTAATATATAACGCTATTGATGTGCATATTGAGTGTGTGATAATTTCTGACACAACAGATGAGACATAATAAGTGTATGTTTTTATCTGATTCAAAGAAATCGTACTTATACCGTATTTCCCTCGTCCTTTTATAGTTCTCGGAAAATACAGAATTACATTACAGAAAAACTTCAAGCTCTATTATTAATATCTAAGATATAGTTCGATGTCACACCAGAGGTAGGATAAATGCAGGAAGAAAATGAGACAAACGGAGGAGGAGAAAGAAAGAAAAGAAGACAAAAGCGTACAATCATAGGCTGTCACAGTGTGTTGTTCAAAAATTCCGTTGACAAACACGAACAGTAGACTACCTCAAATACGTACATAAATAATGAGACGAACAGATAGTCATGAAAGTTTATTCAAAAAGCGCTTGTTCCAAGTCCGAAACAGATACTTCTGAATCAAAGGAGAAACGGCATATGTAGTACTGTTCATATAATTAAAAAGTACGCTTTCCATTTTCTCGTATTTCGAACCCATGCTGCTACTGGAAAAAGTTCTCAGAAAATTATGTAATTAAACGGAGAACACATATGCAGTATGGAGTCGAAAAGAAATAATACCTGACGCGTAATTCTATCGAAGCTATGTGTGAAACTAGCGTTACGGTGTCCCAAAAGGAAATATACACGGATATTATCCATTGTGTTTTAACACATTTTGAGTACTGCATGATGCTTCACTACCCCTTCCTCCACTCAATTCTGGTGAGTGTTGAGGTGTTGTGGTTGCCTGTTGCGGTATGGTACACAAGTTCATGTTCTTTTGCTCAATAGGCATAAACTAACACTCTTACTTCTTTAGAATGCTCATCTATCAGAATATTTTTAATTGGCATGCCATGTTCAGGCAAATCAACGATGGCTCGATTTATTGCCAACAAATTAAAATATTTGCTCATTGACATGGATGACGAAATAATTAAGGAGATCCATGAAAGTTCTATCAAAGAATATATTGCTCAAAATGGATGGCAAATGTTTCGTTCGTTAGAATTAAGAGTATTTAATCGGGTTGTAGAAATGGCATCATTGTCTACTCAGCATGTTCTAATTTCATGTGGTGGCGGTTGTATCGAAACACCGGAAATTCGTCATAAATTATGTCAAGAATCATATGTTATCTATGTCAATCGTCACTTAGACGACATAAAAGAAGACTATTCAAAATGTAAGATAGGTGATCGACCCTATCTAGATTTAGATAAAAAATTTCAATTGCGTAAAGTGCATTATCGTGAATGTTCAAATTACGAATTTTGTCTGTTAGTAAACGACCGTGATTGGCAAACAAATGAAGTCAATCTTCTAGAGTTTATCAAAAGAATAATCGATAAAAAGCCACAATTGCCCGTGGCTGATGATAGTTTCTTCGTATGCTCCACATACAAGAATCTATTCAATGCTACCAAAGATGAATTTCAAGCTGTAATTCGTGGATGTGATGCAATCGAATTACGCATTGATCTCTTGGAATATCATGACGCTGATTTTATTGGTCAACAAATCGCGTATATACGAAAATACACGTCCTTACCTATCATCTATACAGTACGAAGTCAGATAAACTACGGCACATTCCCCAACGATCAAGCGACAATTTTTGAACTCTTAAATTACGGTACCAGATTCGGATGTGAATTCATTGATATGGAAGCAAACTGGAGCGACAAAACTAAAAGACATTGGTTGAATACGATTAAGAACAAGCATCCGTATATTATCGCTAGTTTACATCTACAATTGTCTGTATTCGATCTGAATCGAGTTATCCACCAGTGCATTAGCAGTGGTCAAGTTGACGTAGTTAAAATCGCTATAGATATCGACTATAATACGTGGCTAATCGAAGATATTCTGAATATTTTTACTCAAGCGAAAAAACTATTGAAACAATTTGGTCACCAAAAATTTATTCTAATCGCAATGGGTAATCGAGGGAAGTTGACTCGGGTACTGAATACATTTATGACACCTGTGACTCATGAGCTGTTGCCTCATTCAGCTGCCACAGGACAATTAACAGTAAAACAAATTCAAGAGGCTCGATGTACATTCGGCTTAATTGAATCGAAAAAGTTCTATCTGTTCGGATGTCCTATTCAACGCTCATTATCTCCATGTATTCATCAGACTGGTTTTGATTACTATCATTTACCCTATAAATACGAATTGTGCGAAACAAACGACTTCTCACTCGTTCAAAAGATCATGAAACAGGTGGATTTTGGTGGCGGCAGTGTATCTATTCCATTGAAACAAGATATCTATGAGTTATTGGTATCAGACACAAACAACGGAGTGAGTAACTCAGCACAAAAAATCGGTGCAGTAAATACTGTTCGTAAACTTGAAAATGGAACGTTCTATGGTGATAATACGGATTGGATAGCTATTCATAAGCTGCTCAGTGAAAAAATATTCAATAAAGGTTCAGCACTTATCGTTGGTGCTGGTGGGACCGCACGTGCGGCGTTGTATGCGCTGAGCCAAATTGAATACGTTCAGTGTATCTATGTGTACAATCCTCGCACTCCTGAGAAAGCAATTCATCTGACTGGTACATACAGCAATCCAAATATTTTACCTGTAACAAATGATGACGTTAATAAGTTGAAAAATATTTGCGCAGTAATTAATACGTTACCATCATCAGTCAACTTCACATTGGGTAGGTCATTTTTCGAGAATATCTCTGCATCAAACAATTTTCCAACACTACTGGACGTGAACTATATACCGTATCAAACAGAACTGATAAAACAAGCCCAACAATACAACTGGAGTGTTATTCATGGTATTGATATGTTAATCGAGCAAGGTTTACAACAATTTCAAATTTGGACAGGAAAAGCGGTTGCAGTCGCTCCACTGATAACAGAAACCGTACGCCAAACCTATCATAAAACTTTCGATAAGAATGAATAAATAATTTATTCACTATTGACGCCTGTTTTCTACCCTTTCAACAAATCTAAAAGAAAAATATTAATTTAAATAACAGTCTTCACAAAAAAAGCAGTTGCTCGATAACATCATAAGTAATCCTTTATTTTGGGTATATCCATAAGTTTCCTAAATCGGGTTTGAATATAAAAGAAGAAGCAACTACTTGATATCAATTCGAAAATGAATGAAAGAACTTGAGCTCTAGTTCTAGTGTGCAATATCAAGAAACGTTTTATGAAATCATCACCCAAACCGTCGGAATGAGCCAATCACGGCGCTAGTTCTCTTTGATCTATTTCAGTATGTTTAAGGCCTAAACGAGAGAGGAAGACATAACCAGCGACAAACTACTCCAATGACTATTAATAGGCCAGTATGGTTGATTCACTACAACTCTGCTATTCATACAGACTAAATATCTGAGAAAGTGATAGAACGTTCCAAAGTCTCCAATCGAAATATACGCTAAAATAAAGACGTCACTGAAAGCCTCAAATGGGGTACACTTGGTAACCCTGACTACAGGTAATGTATTTGTGATAGGATTGGTGCTGATATAGTCATCAGATCTGAGGTCTAAATTGAGTCGATTGGCAAGATACCAATCACCTGATGTAGCGCGAATATAAAGACCCGTCATCTATGCATTTCCTTGATATGCAATGGTAATCGACGTCGTCAAAGGTTAATTCAATGTATCATACCGTTCATCAGCGCGTGATTGAATTATTGGATTTTGTTGGCAATCTGTAGTTATCGTACTAGTTGAGAGTCTACTACTGCGATAAGCAGTATCCGAGCAATTTGCCAAGCAGACCGTAGAATTATAAACCGCGAATGAGCGTTTGAACAGAAACATCTGCTTCTGTGCAACAAGGTGAACTACAACCAGCCTACGCTCGATTCCAAAAGTATCTCTAATGAATAAGAAAAGTGAAAGAGAATACGGACGATCAAAGTTGAGATTCTTAAAAAGAAATAATACCACCACGAAAATGGTTTCCATTGCGTGCATATCATATATATGAGAAACAGAATAATGAAAGAAAGCCACCGAATCAGACTCATTTGATAATGGTCTAGCTGCTGTCTGTCCTTCTATGTTTGGTAAAGCTAGTCAGCAACAAAATGAGTAGAAATCAACCGCTTGTGACCTTTTCTTAAACGTAAGTTCAATTGTTTTTGAGAACTCAACACAAAAAGTATGCATTGGTGTTCGGTCATGAAACATTTCAGTGTAGGTGTAGGGCACACGGCCCGCTTTAACTTGATGATAAGTGCGAAAGAACAAGCAACATTAAGTGCCGTTTTGCCACTTCTGCATTAAATCATTGTAAATTGCTTTTGCAAAAACAAATAAACAGACCCGACATTATAAAATCATTTTTCAGATGTCAATTCACTGCGTCGTTTTTTTGTTTTGTTTAAAGAATAGCAATGCATTTTCGGTTTGGAAGCACTGTGTTTGCTTTTCAAATGAAAAAAGTTCTAAATTTATCGACGATAAATGCGTTATGCTTTTCTTCCATTTTCAATCACACATTTTTGCCATATCCCTCCACAGAAACGTTTCATTTGTTCTTTTTATAATGTTTTTGAAGAAAGAGTGAGTTTTACATACAGCCTTGCTCTTTCACATCGAAGTGAATACTCTTAAGAAGATATTCGTATGCATAAGCAAGTCACATTGAATGAGACCACCATCGTTCTATATTGGCACAATGCCGAAATAATTCTTGCGTCTTTCTATATTTCGGTAGAACCACCGATTTCTAGGTATGATCGTACATTGTGGTGCAGAAGATCATTACACAAATATTTACTTTTAGCACGAACAATATTACCTGCTGCAGAACTATTTGGAGCGATGTTGAAAACTTAAATCTGATCATCAACGACTAAATCAGTCATGACATTTCGTCAGGCTTCTCTTCTATTTTCTCGCCAAAAGGACAGAAGAAAGGAAAAAAAGAAAAACACTTTGAATAGCTCGAAGAAAAACATTCACTATTGATATAATAACAACTAGAGACAAGGAGAAGAAATATCTTATAGGCAAACAATTCACAGAATGTAATCAGCAAAATTCTGCCTTGTCAACATCGTTCTTCGTGATATAACAATGATTGTCACACTTGACATAACTGCTAAAGAGTAATTGGAACGAAGAATAGTTATCGTCATTCTACTCTCGATTTGAATATGTTATGCACTCATATAGCAGATGTGTTCACATCTTGTTTGTGTAAAACAGACGTGGGAAAATTTCATGCTAGAGGCATAAGAGCTTTACCTGTAGATTTCTCAATTTGAAATATTGCATGTCACCATATTGATGCAAGTTATGCTTGGCACACAACTGGGAAATACTTTAAAATAGAAACATTGACATTCTTTTCTTTTTTGCGTTCGGATTGAAAATTGTCAAAATTCTTCATAATATAAGTAGCAGGAAAAGAAAAGTAGTTTTCTTCACTATGAACGCGAGTTTTCATTTTCCTATTCCACAAGTAGAATAAAACTCGAGAACTATTCGAATAGATTCTTACATCATGGCTTCATCTAGTCGTACAGTCGATAAATTTGCCTGTGAAACATCGCGATATCTTCTGCCGACGTTCCGTCGTCCAGGCTATCGTGAAATAATGGACACACATGTCGAATACGATCCCGGTCATGAAGTTTTCCCCATATGGACCAAAGAAGATGGACAATACTATCGTACCATCAACACGGCACTTCTCAATGATAACTATGACGTATTAAAAAAGAATGTCAAGTTTATCAATAGCCTACGACATGCAATTCGAGATAACAATGCAAAAGAATCGGTGAAAGTCTATCGCGGTTTGTGTATACCAAGTAAACATGTTAATCAGGAATATAAAGTAGGTTTACAGTTTCTATGGCCGACATTTACTTGCACATCGAGAAATAAGGACATGGCGCATGTTTTTGGTGAGTATACATTTGAAATTGAAACGTCAAGTCAAGATTGGACTTATCGGAGTGATATTTCGAAATATTCGATGTTTCCTGAAGAGGAAGAAGTGTTATTTTATCCATATAGTGGATTTGTTGTTCAGAATGTTATACCAGATGCGAAAATCATTCAGCTGAAATGTGTCGATACATTACACGTTGAAGAAACGTCGGAAAAACTCATACCTGAAGAAGTACAAATCTTCGATTCATCAAGAAATATCTTTGTTTATTTTTACAAGAAAGCGTCCGAAGTGTACTGGTCTTACGCGAATAAGCCTGATCAGCGATTTCTCATTGCTGGTAATCAGAGCGGATACTGGGATGCACCTTATCGTTATCATCATCGGAGAGGATATTTTATACATAAAGGAATGAATCTATGGGAAGAATATCAAAATGATGAATGTTTTGCGACGTTTACTCGAATTGGTTTGGGAAATAACTAAAAGGAAAATACACGTAAATTCATTTCTTTCAAGTAACATTGTTGCTATCACATTGAGTCATTATTTTTGTTTTTATGTGATATTATGTTTTCAGAGCGGTGGCGAGGTTAGGAGACCGTATAGTATTTGTCGAAATTCTTTCCTTCTTGATGCGAAACATGTGCGTCACTCATATCCAAAATAATAAATTTTCTCCTGTTGAAAGAAATGCCGAACAGATGAATAAACAAAAAAAGTGCAAAGTTTGCTCTGTCAACATGCCATTTTTTTAAAGCAAGAGAATAGTATAATACATTAGCGATCGAGTCGGACTGTTGTCAGTGACAAACATAAAAACAAAATGATTGTTTCAATCGTGTGTCTCTTGTTGTTTTTCATCCAAACAATCAGTAGTCAAAGTAAGGGCAGGTTGAACTGAAAGTATCGATGTAAATGTGAAATCTAGATTGCTCAACTAGCAATCCATGTGGAACATATGGTTACTGTGTTGACACTAGTAGTGGTGGTATAGAATGTGTATGCAAGTTCTGGTGGAAGGGAGACTTTTGTGATCAACGTAAGTTTTCATCTGTTGTTATCTCCTGTAGAAAAGACTGAATTATCTGTAGAATCAAGTAGTGGCATTCAAGTGATTGTTCTGGGAGTGTTATCAGGTATTCTTCTCATATTTTTCTATGCTCTTTCTATAATTTGTGGATGTCGACGACGAAAACAACAACCGAAAAAGGAGAAAAAGTGAGAAATATGAAATTCTTGACAATTTCTTATATTTTTCATTCATAGAAAGGATGAAAATTTAAATTCAAAACTAAGTGATGTCGCGGTTGTCAATGTGAAACGATCGTTTCAGATATCATCATGCTTAGTGTTCATTTTCATGATAATTGTCGCAACAATTGCATTAGTTATCAAATGGTTATTATTACAGCCGATACACAATGAATTAGTACAAAAATATAACAAGAGTGAACTGTTATATTATCATCGGATATCTTTTTGTGATGTTATTGATCAAGATGGTTATGATTTGATATCTCTACCTGTGGCAGGTTTCTTTATCATAGTTTTTGTTATTTTTTCTAAGAGAACATCATGTTTACGACAAAAACTACGAGGTTTTATTGGTCCAATTATTCCCATGGACTTTTATATTCACATCAAGCGAAAACTTGCTGCAGTTATATTTGCTATTATCGCTGATGATCTTTTGAATATTGTTATTGCAGTTCTCAATGGTGAAGCATCACAAGGGGAAGGTGAACATTTTCTATGAGGAAGAAAAGCGAATATGATTTCTTTTCTGTGTTCTTTAGGAGTTATTGTTGTTTATTTGATGCGAATAGTTCAAATTTTAGTAATTGGCATCCATTATTATCCATTATTAGCTGCTGCTTATATAGATTCGATGTTGACATGGAGTTGTGCAACACTTTATGCTTGGTTATTTTTTAGTTTGACAATCATTGAACAAGGTTTATGTCAAACAAGTTTTTACACATCAGACGAATATCCAGATGATATCAATAATACAGATACTGGAATATTCTTTGATTATTATGGTACAGGTTCAAATCTGCTGATAATTGAACTTATCACAGATATTCCTCGATATTTATGTTGGGCTTATATAGTTGTGAAATTTCCAATGTTATTAATTGAGAAAATCAATCAAATGATTAAAAAACGAAAAAAAGAATCTTCTTCACATATTCATTTAACAAGAGAAGAGAAAATTCTTCTACATTCATCAGCAAGTCATTCAGTTGAAAGTTCTTATGTAAGAAATTTGTTTCGTGGAAAGAATCGATGTTTGAAGAGTCGATTATTATTTGGACGATTAATACCAACATTTATTTATCAATGGCGAGATGATTTTCGATTTTCATCACGAATATTTTGTGTTTATGCATCAGTATTTCTTCTTTTGTATTTTATTACAATTCAATCATTGATACGATTTATTCCATATTTAAATACATTTGAAAAAATTATTCAAGAATTAATGGATATTATTTCACAAATTGGCAATTCAGCAGGTATAACGAAACAATTTCCAGTTCCAAATTTGACTCGTCCATTTGTATTTGCAATCTTAACTGCATTTGTCATTATAACTCTTCAGTTATTAATTCTCTTGACAAATATTCGACGAAATTTATTTCAAATCTATCGTGGTGATGATTCAGAGATTCCTTTGAGAACTAATTCTCGATATCTTAGTTATACTTCGGGAAATTTTCATTTTGCAGGATATTTTATTGGTTATATCTTTTGGGGATATGTTCTAATTGCAATATTTGCATTAATTGTTTATATTTGTATTGCATCGTTCATTACATTCGGAAGTGTTCGATTTCTTGAAAAGATTCTTAAAGTGATCATTCCTGTGTTATTGATGATTATTTTCAAACTATATTTGAATAAATTATTGGCAAGATATGTGTTTTTACAAGATTATGGTGATGTTTTAGCGATTAATAATCGACGAGTATTGATGATTTTTTTATATTTTAACTTCTTTCTTGATTCATTTCTTGGTTTGATATCTTCAATTATGCGAATCATCTTAAGTGTAATTGCAGCTTTCTTTTACATGTGTCGTTTGGATTATTCACCATTAGGAAGAAAACTTGAAATATTAGATTCAGGATTTGCTGCTTATTGTGGTTTTATTCATATCGAAGCAGTACATCGAAATCCGATCATGTTGACAATGGTAAGTCATTTGTATGGAGAAATGAAAAGAAAACAACACTTAACAACACATAATCCAATGATGATGACTTCGATTGAAAGTAAACGTCAAAAGAATTCATCAAAAGCAATTCATCGATGGCATTTAGCAGTTCTTTTGTTACGAAATCCATCATTGGTATTCTTAAGAAAAAGTGCTCTTGTTGCAAATGAAGATAAGAAAGAAAAAGAGATGTTCGAGAAGAAACAAAGAATGTCGGTGATCGAAGAGATGACTCATCGACCTAGTTTGATTTCTGAAAGTGATTTCGAACGAATGTGGCAAAAGAAATGTTGATTGAATTGTTACATTCCATGAACATTATCAATGACATTTATTTTATCTCTCTTTGGAATCATTATTCTTTCATATTTGTATTATTATTGGTCATTAAAAGTATATTTTCATATCATTCGAATACTATAGTCATTCTCTATTATTCAGAACTTTTGAATTGATAATGTAATAAACCTGCAAGTACTGATTGAAATCCTGCATTGTAATCAGTAGTGACTTCATTCTTGATAAAGTCATCACGTCGATCTTCATAATTATCATTTTCATCAGGTCCTCCAACTAAAGCACCAATGAGAAGTTGTGGATTAGGATGAGGACTAGAATATGCATTCCAATCACATATTGTTGGCCGATCAGGACAAGAACTTCAGTAGAGAGAGAGTGTGTGAGAGAGAGAGAGAAGATAATGATCTGAGAGATACCTGGATACATGATGAGGTCGTTTGGGATAGTTCTCACCGAAACCGATGACAAATGATCGACCTGAATCACCAAGAATGTAATTGATTTGTTCAGTAACAAACTTCAAATATTGTGCTTCATTGATATTGATTTCAGCAGCCTAGGAAATTTAGTTGAGAAAATATGAAAGATATCGATTTGAATTGTTTTGATGATTACCATAAGACAAAGAAAAGCAGCGTTGCTGGCATGTCGAAGCGAACCCCATGGAGCGAGAAAGACAAGACCTTTGGGTGTTGTTGGAGCTTGATGAACTACATAATGACAGAAATGTTCAGCTTGTGTTCGATAAGTTTGTTTGTTTGTTATTTTCGCCATGAGAATCTGAAGACCAGCTGTTTTGTCATCCCAACTGAATTCTCGAGGTTGTTTAGCAAGATGAAATTCATCATAATGTTGTTCAATATCTTCTTGATAACGTTGATCATCTGTCGCACGTAGAAGCCAAGCAGCACTCCATCCCAATTCATCTCCATAACCTGACCATGAATTATAGAAATCAGTAATATCAGGTATAGAATGTGAATAGTTGCCACGGAATCGATTGGCAAAGTCATATAATTGTCGAGCATGTGTGAGAAGTAACGAATGATAATCAGGATCAACTGAACGAAAGAGAATTGAGGCAGCAGCTAATGCAGCTGCAGTTTCAGCTATGAGTTCTGAGCCAGGCTTTTCAGGTGTGAGTTTGTATGCAGGTCTTGGTTTTGTCCAATCTTCTGGTCTTGACCAATGTATATGATCATCATGTCCATCACCGACTTGTCCATAGAATTCAAATTCACTAACATGTGCCTATAGAGAAAAAGAAGAGAAAGAGATGTTGTTGAATTGTTCTGTTGTACTAACTTTGATGAAATAATCTGTTGACCATCGAATCGCTTGTCGAACATAGTCGAGTTGACCTGTTCGTCTATAAGCATCTTCATATTCAATTGCACCCCAAGTTAATATTGTTGTGAATGATGCCATAGGAAAACCAAATTTGACATGATCACCAGCATCAAAATAACCACCAGTCAAATCTTCACCATGATGTCCTTTGTCCATTAACATCGAATCTCCTCGCCATTTAATTCGATTATCTGATGGAAGTTTTCCACTTCGTTGTGCTTCGTAGAAGAGTAATGAATTGCTGAGCACAAGTGCATAGTCATACTTGCTTGTATTTGATGAAATAGTGGATATATTTGTAAGAATGAATTTGTCATTGAATGAAATAGTGAGAAGATTATTCAAATTTGCAATGGATTGAACGATAAATTTGAAATGAAGAAAGGTACCAGAGAGTAATTCGATGTTTTCTGAATGATTGTTAGTGAATGCAAAGCTTCGATTGTTGGTATTCGAATAGAGATGACCTGGCCAAGTCTAACACGTATACATATTATGAATACGATGAGAATTCGAGATAACTTACAATGATATTCACAGGTTGAGTGAATTGTAAGTGAATATTCCAACCATTGACAAAATCATTCTCAATGGGAACATTCAGTGTGGTTTTGAATCCATCTGACCATCGATGATCTATTCGAAGTTGTGCTTGACAAAGAATAGTAGTGAATGTGGCACAAACTAGAAGATATCTGAATAGATGCAACATGAATAAGGATAAGAAGAGTGATTTTGACATGATTTGTATAATGAATAGTTACATCGAAATTTTCGTTAATCCTCTTCTTTTCTGTTCTATTGAAATATGGATAAGATTGGTATAATCTGTTGACATTTGACATGTTTTGAATGATATACTTGTTGTTTCGAAAAAAAGAGAAAGAAAGAGATATAGATATTACTTGTGTGTTAATAAATGGTTTTGTGATGATGATGGAGAAAGTGTAGAAGAAAAAAGAATCACAATATATTCATTCATTCAGATGATGTATTTTACAATCATACGATTCGTGTCATTTAGAGAACTTCTTTGTCTCTCTCTTTCTTTCTTCGAAGATCCTGTAGAGATTCATCATGAAAGTAGTTACCGAAAGAAACTAAGAAACAGTTTGATAGATTTATTTTGTAAATATAGATGAGATTATCTCGAACAAAGTATATTTATATGAGAGTTCGTGAAAAATTATCGAAGACGAAATCGTTGAATTCGACGATTATTATAATCAGAAACATAGAGATAAGTTTCAGTTGGATCAAATGCAAGATCAGCTGGACCATTGAGAAGTTGAGCAGTTTTCCCCGGAATACCAGTAGCACTACCAGCAACAAGTGAACCTTGAGTATCTCCAATATTCCATTTCATAATTCGATTGTTATTATAATCAGCAACATAAAGAGTTTGACCATCACGTGTTACACAAATACCAGCAGGTGAATTCAATTGATTAAAACCTGTACCTGAACCAGTACCTCCTGCTACTGTTATTCCAGTTCCATTTCCACCAATGATAAATTTCTGAATACGATTATTTTGATAATCACTGACATAGAGTGCATTTTGATCATCATTCACATGAATAAATTTCACATATTTTAGTTTCGTACTGGTTGATCCCGAACTTAATCTTTGTCCAGCAACAACTGTACCATTTTGAGCACCAGGTGTCCATTTAACTACTGTATAACATAAAAATAGTGATACATAAATATTTCCATATTGATCGACAGCTACACCATAAGCAGTATAGAGTTCATTGGCTAAACAAGAACTTGTTGATAATCCTATTGCAGGAATACTACTATTGATTTTTCCAGATCGTTGAATAAAAACAGTACCTTCATTCACTGATCCATCAACCATATATAATGTATTTGTTTTATCGACAAATATATCCAGTGGTTGAATTAAACCATTAGAAAGAACTATTCGTCCTGTACGTGAAAATGGTGAATAACTATTGAATGTTTGACCATCACAATCAGCAACATATAATATTCCATCAATTGGAGAAATATGAATACCCCAAGGTCCTTGTAAATCTGTTGAACCAATACCAATAGTGCCATTACAAGATCCAACTATTGTTTGACCAACACCAATTGATGAAACTAATAAAGAGAATTGATGAAAGTGAAGAGAAGATGTTTTTCAGATAAATTCAACATACTTGATGAACATCGAAAAGTTCTATCACATTGTGGTTCACAAGTCAAATTAAGATCTGTTCGACAAGCTTTAACTGTTGAACAAATTTGATTTTGAAATAATTGTGCTGTACATATTGAACCATTCCAATATGTTTTTAAAGGACATTGACAAGTGTTCGTAGTTTGATCACATATAGAATATCGACTTTGAATACATTTGTCACATGATTGATTATAAATATTTCGATATATATTTGAAGAGAATCGAATACTACCAACAACAGATTGTGATTTAGATGAAATGAGAATTGAACCTGTTGTTATATCAGCATCCCACAAACGACATTGTGTTGTATTATAATCAAAATCGTATGTTCGACAATCAGAACGTTGATTACATAAAGAACTACAATATATGAGCTTTGTTGTTATTGTTGTTGTCAGAAGTGGAGGAATCGAATTATCGAAAGGAAGAAATTCCCATCCAGATTGAGTTATTTGAGATAACGATTGATCTTCTTTTGTGAATTGAATATAATTGAATAAATGAATAAAATAAAATAAACTTCTTTGTGTAACGATTGTCATTTTGATAGTTTGAGAAAACTAAAATGATTTGCTGCTCTCAACTTCATTTATGTACTTGTTTTCTCTATGTCATTATGAACGAATTCATTTTTATTTTGGAAAATAAGTTTTTTCTTTGTGAGAAAAATATCTCTCAAGAAAGTTAATTTGAAAAAGAAAAAGAAATGATTATTCAAAATACAATCATGTGGAAGATTGAGTATAGATAAATATCCTATGTAAAATTACATGAAGAATGTTGTCATGTAGACAAGTTAAAGTTAATTTTATATTGGAATATTCTTTCATTGTATTTGATAATTATATGAAATAGAAAAATACGAAGAGAAAAGTAACACGACTGCCATCTGTCGATAGATTTTGTAATGAATGTTGTATTATAGATGGTTGCTATGCAATGACAGTGCATCATATTATATACATTGTACTCCGTCCGATGTTCGTTCTGTGTCTTTTGATGACTAAGTAAACGCGCGATTTGTATTCTACAACACATAGTCTTAATTTCGTTAATCATAAGTAAATGATGTCATATTTGATAGGTAGTTATGGAATTATGACACAAAAACGATCATGTGAATGAAGAGAGAAAATAGGAAGGTAGCAATGTATAAATAGGACTGACAATCTTGCATCAAGTATACAGATTTTTTCAACGATTAAGCAATATCCTTCTTATTGTTAAATGATGGCAAACAAAGATGAAAAAGTGGAACTTGCAAAATTGGCTGAACAAGCAGAACGGTAAGATATTGATATAGATAGAAGATTGATCTATTTGAATTATATAATCTAATAAATAGATATGTTGATATGGTAAATGTTATGAAAGAAGTGGTTCAATCTAAGAATGAATTAACACTTGAAGAACGGAATTTACTTTCGATTGCATACAAAAATGTGATTGGAAGTTATCGTGAACCATATCGTATCATATCAACTATTGAAATGCGAGTTCAAGATAATGAACATGAAAAGGAAATGGTGAAAAGATATCGAAAGAAGATTGAAAATGAATTAAAAGATGTTTGTTATGAAATTCTGGTAATTAACTTAGTAATTGATCAACAGAAGAACTTTTGAATCAAATATTTATTTGTTTTAGGATCTACTTGATAAATATTTATTTCCAAATGTAACATCAAATGATGAGAAAGTATTTTATTTGAAAATGAAAGGTGATTATTATCGATATTTAGCAGAAATTGGTGTAGAAAATGAAGGAAAAAGTGAGATGATGATTTAATGAGATGAAAATTGATAAATTTGATTATAGAATGGGCAGAAGAATCCAAAAATGCTTATAAAGATGGTTATGATTTGGCTCAAAATGAAATGATTGTAACTCATCCAATTCGTCTTGGACTCGCTTTGAATTTTTCTGTTTTTTATTATGAAATTGCCAATGAATTTGATGTTGCTTGTCGTTTAGCTAAAGAAGTTTGATGATATTCGATTTGTTTAGTTAATCGAAATATTTCTCTTGTTTTGTTTAGGCATTTGATAATGCTTTATCTGAATTAGATTGTATTAATGACAAAAATGTTTATCGAGGTAAATGTGTTTATTTGAATTCTTTTGTTTTTCTTTGAATTGTTTTATTTTAGATAGTTTGATTATTATGCAATTGTTACGTGATAATCTAAAAGTGAGTTTTTCAATTTCTTTTGTCAATTATCAATTTAAACAAAATCTTCTTAATCTTTATAGATATGGTCTGAAACCGAAATGAAGATGAACAATGAAGAAGAAGAAGAAGAATCATAATTGTGTTTTTTATCCTTTTCTTTTATATAAATTTAATAATAAAATCACGTGTTCATATAATATAAGTCAATGTTGAAATAACATAGAAGGTTTTTTTGACATAAAATAAACAATTATATAAAGTTTTTATATAGAAAAGAAATTTGTTTTAGTTGATAATTGTTCCATTAGGTAATGTGACATTAATTAAAACTTTGGCTTCTTCAATTAATTGAGTGATATTTACATGAGAATGAAGAAAAGTTGAATGAATAAATGAAGCATGTATAAAAATAATCTTTTTCAATTGAGAATTTGTGAAATAACAAAATTTACAATAAATATAACTAAAATTGATATTTTCCATATAATTATTAATAAAATTAACATTTTGTAATGTATTATTAAACATATCAATATCATATAAAGTTGTATTTCGAAATATTGTATCATATAATTTATTATTTGATAGAAAACAATTTTTCATAGTTAAATAAGACAATGTATTATTTCTAAATAAAGTATAAGATGCATAAACATTTGTCCAATTGGAATTAGTAAAGTTAATTGAACCAAGTACGGCTGAATGAATAATAACATTGTTTAATGTAGTTGAAAGAAAAAGACACATATAAATCTTATAAAATGTACTAAACATATGTAAGAAGCTTAAATCAACATGAATAAATAAAGTTGAAATGAATTTACAATCTCTACAATAGAGATAACGCATATTTGTGAATGTTAAATTTGCATTTGAAAAATCAGCTGCAATGAAATTTGCACGATAAAAAGTGGCATTAATTAACGATGTAGATGAAAAATCTATTTTAGTTTCTCGATCATTATCAAAACAAATTGGTGCTCTTGAAGTGGCAAAACTAAAATCTGCAAAATCCAAATAACTGAATGAAAATACTGAACAATCCAAAAAAACAGAACGAAATGAAGCATTTGTCAATATACTTTCAGGTAACCAAAGATAATTCCAATAATTATACATTAAATCTGATTTTTCTATTGAAGAATAAAGATTTAGATTAAAAATTGTATTTGTTAAATCGACTCTTTTAAGTTGTAAAAAAGATTCATCAAACAATTGACTTTTTCTTTCCAAATTTATTAATCGAGCTTCTGAAAGTGATCGAAGAATAAGACTTTTACGAATAACATCTAATTGACTTAATGCAGTTATTGTCATAAAACGTATAACAAGTCGAACATTTGTTGCTTTATTTCCAGTTGTACCAAATTCCATAAGAATTTTTGTAAGAAAATTATGATATTCGACAAGAATTGTTTGACGTTGTTGATCAAGAGAAAGTTCACGATCTTTTTCTCGACTTTTTTCAGCAATCATAATTTCATTCAAACGATTTTCTTTTGCTGTTTCAAATTCTGCAGATCGAGAAGCATCAGCAATTTCAATATCTTTGATTCGATTACTTTCTGCTATTGATTGATTACTTTGATTTTGAACAATTGTATAAATAGCAATAATAATTGGAATACATATTGTTGAAATTAATTGAATCCATTCAAATCGACTTACACTTACTCGTTTATTCAAATCAGAAGATTTTTCCGTTTCTAATGAATTCATAATGTTTAATTGAAAGTTGATTTTATTCTCAAATATCTATTCGATACATTGTGAAAGAAATTCACATATTTTTATTAGTTGAAATACAATGATTGATCTTGTCATTTTTATTAACAGATATCATTTTTGATTTGAATAATAAATTCATATAAATCTCAACTGATAAACTTGTCTGAAGATATTTATTTCATAAAAACTTGTTCAATATGAATTTATCTTTATAATTTTTATCATTTGAATAATTTAGAAAACAATATTGATAAGACCGAAGAGATTTTATTAAACATTACATTAACATAGTTGTGATACATTTGATTGTTTTACTTTTTGAACATTTGTTAGTCGTCGGATCACATAGATATTCTTTCGAATGACATAGAAGAGATATTTTTGATTGATAATGCAATTTAACAAAACTAAGTTTGCTGATTGAATAATTTGTCAAATGTATTTGTTAATCATTTCAAATAATTATTTGAACTAAAGAAGAAATTCTGCTCATTTTTCTAATTTCAATATTCATTAAGATAAAAGTTTGATTTTTTCATTGGAAACTTCGAATGTTTCTTTAAATGAAATAATCTTTTGATTTTGATAACCAATGGATTATAATTTCAAAAGATCATTTGTTTAAAGTATAAAAAATCTTGAAATACAGTGAATATTTCGAATTTATCCAACTTGAATTGTAATCTCGTAAAATATTCGAGAAAAAACGAAAAGAAATGTTGTTTGTTTTTATTTCTGATGGAATATGTAACAAGAGAAATAATGAATATTTTGATCTATCGAATGTTTTAGATATTTGTTTATCTTTACAACAAAATTTGATGTTTTCATTTTCTTTTCAGTAAAACACGTTTCAAACGTTGTCAAATATCTCATAAATGATCAATATGGAAAGATCTGATTTGTTTTTTTTTTGTCAATAAGAAAAATGAAAATAGAAGAAATATTTAAGATTTTGAAAATATCCAAATGAACATAATTTGTTGATTATTTGTTAAAGAGAAATGTTCCTAATTTGACTTTATCAATCGATGTTTGTTGTTGATACAAAGCACAAATTTCAAATGGTTGTAACCATCGTGTCCAAACAGATATATCAGCAATTTTACCAATCCATGGATTATGATGTTCATTATTCTTTGTTCCAATATACAAAATATTTGGCAAATGAATGGTTTGTTCGTACCATTGTGAAGAATTCCAAGATTGATGATAAGGTTCTCGTATTTCTGTTCGATTTTGTATGTTAGTCATGTCTACACTGCTCACTTGTTTTCCATTGACCCAAAGATCTTGGATATTTCGATTAACTCGAGCAACAACATGATACCATCGATGAGGTTCTGTCTTTTGACGATCTTCACATCCAAATGCATATTTAGCTGATGAAATCATAATTTGATTATGAATATTTGTATTTACATGAAAACCAAGATGAAGCCAAGCATGATTAACAAGATATTGATCATTCCAACAGCCAATCGCTGTTCGCCATCCTCCTTCTTGTTGATTTCTATTCCATGCTTTTGAATCAGCCCAAAACCAAATGGAAACTGAATAAGTAGTTGTTTGATACTGAACTTTATCTTGAACAGGAAAATCAATAGAACATTGACCATCGAATACAACACATTTACCAAGAAAACAATCTTCGATTGTTGGTTGACCCATTAACATATAATTATTCGTAAGAACACCACTGGAATCGTGTCCAATATTATTAATATCATCAAACTTCCACCATCCGATGAGTTGATCTCGATTGAGACCATTTACAAAATATTTATTGAGAAACCATTCANTTGAATTCATACGACATGGTCGACTTTGATTTCGATAAAAAAATCATCATTTTCGAAGATATCGACTGCAGTGAGTGTTAAGATTTTTGTGAGAGAGCAAGTTTTTCGATCAGAGATTTATTAACAGTGTCGCAAATCCTTCAACAGCGATTGACAACGGGATCTATATGTCCAACAACGTCGGATGTTGAAGTACCATCGATCGAAAAAGATGAAATTATTTTTCATCTCGAAGACAACGATATCAAAGCGAGAAAAAAGAAAATACCCAAACAAACATTAAGAAATATGTTAGGTAAGTTGTGCAATCACAAAAATGACCGAAGTTTTGTTTCGTTGGAATTCTAGATGATACTCCAAACGCTCCGAAAGATCCGTTAACGCTGTCATTTCTTCTAAATCTGATTGACGGAATTATTGAACAACCATCGCGTATACTAATCATGACTACGAATCATCCTGAACAAATCGATCCTGCTCTTCTTCGACCAGGCCGCGTCGACATTAAACAAGAATTTCAACGATGTACGAAACCGATCGTGAAAACAATCATCGAATACTTCTTCGAGGAAGAAAACGATATTGATGTCTCTCAATTGACTGATTGTGTTCATTCGCCAGCTGAAGTCATTGCAGCATGTATGTCGTCATCAGATGGAAAAAATGCTGTGCAATTGCTTTCGGAACAAACATTACCCAATGTCATTGTCGAGGCACGAAATGTCGTCGGACCTGACAAAGAATAGTAGTGTGAGATAAAATTTCGTGATTGTGTTGACTTTCTTCATCAAATACATACATAGAATATACTATAAGCAAATGATGAAATTCTTACTGTATTCGAAGTGATGGAAAGTATAGTGAAGGCGTGCAAAGATATTATCGAATAAAAAAATACGTACAGGAAAGAAAAAAGAAATATTTCTACACGTGCGTGGAGAAAAGAAACTCGAATATATTCGAGTCATTTCGAGAAAGAATGACGAGCGAGCCGGTTCACTTCTACGGTCGGAATAAACCGTTTAATGAATTTAGTAATTTTCACGAAGCTCCCATTGAATTGGATGGATACACATGGCCAACGACTGAACATTATTTCCAAGCACAGAAGTTTGTTCACGATCAAGAACATTATCTACATGTCTTGAACTTACCCGCTCCACGTGCGGCATTTAATTACGTACGAACGTATAAATCTTTCGTTCGACCTGATTGGGCAGATGTAAAAGATGAAGTTATGCTTAAAGCTTGCATGGCTAAGTTTGGACAACATAAAGAACTGAAAGACTTATTATTGTCAACTGGTGACCGACTTTTAGTCGAACATACGGAAAATGATTCTTATTGGGGAGATGGTGGCGATGGAAGCGGAAGAAATCAATTGGGCATTACTTTAATGAAAGTTCGAGATGCTCTTCGAAAACAAGAGAATTAATTTTTCGTTTTTATTGCTTTTGTTTTTATTTCTTTACAATATAAACTAGAGCGTGTCTTTTCGTTGAAATATAGTTGTGGGAGACATCTAACTAGTGAAGGAATATGATACTAACAACGAAAACTGACAAGCTGTTATCATTTACCAATCAGAAATAAAGATCAGAAGAAACGAAAATTTGTGTAGATTGTGATATTAGGTGGCAAAGTAATTGCTGTCGGCCGTTCAGTTGCTGGTGCACTTACCGCTGTTTCTTAAGCAGAACGGATTTTCAACAGAAATTCACGAACGTGTGGCAGCTTTTGGTGACGCTGGAGTAAGTACAAACACGACTAATATGATGCTTTGTACGAAATATGATTTTTCTTATTCAGGGTTCATTCGCATTATAGCTTCCAGTGGTATTAAAGTGTTGCTGCAAATACCTGGTATGTGCATTGAATTATCTTTCCCATCGAACATCAGATGGTGCTATCATCAATGAATATTCAATTGAAGATATCTTGTTGCATTGCGGGCATCCTTTTGCTAGGTATGAAACGTACGGTTACGTTACGTTTGTTACAGGCGAACTGAATTGTCAAAGAATACATGTACACTTTAACAAACCGCTATGCGGAATAACTCATTTGGATGATCATGTCGTAGCTCAGTTTAAGGATGGTTCAGAAATTACAGGTGATTTTCTAATCGGTGCTGATGGACTTTGTTCAAGCGTTCGACAGATTCTATTTGGACTTGATCAACCTACTTACACCGGTCTTACTCAAAACCAGTGATGTCACTAATCGCGTAGATGAATCGGGTCGATACGCCATGCTTAATGTTTACGGCGATATAGGAAAACATTTTATAATCTATCCCTTTAATGCGGAACAGGTATGCTTCGCGTACACATTTCGTAAGCCGATTGCGGAAGGTGAATTCTGGCGAACGTTAACTAATGACCAGGCATTAGGTTTTATTCGAGAATGCGGCTTTACTCAATGGGCGTCACCTATTAACACATTTATTTCAAATACTTCTCGATGGATGAAAGTTGGCTTGTACGATCGGTCAGAACTATCAACATGGTATGAGCATCGTGTTGTCTTAGTGGTCGATGCCGCACATTCAACCGCGCCTCATCATATCCAAGGAACAAATCAAGTGATGGAAGATGCCTAGTATCTCGTGAAATCGTGGAAAACTATACACAACAACGCAGCCAGACGTCAAGGTGAAGCACGAGTATGCACAGAACTGGATGCATGTTAACAACGAAATGAAGTGTTACGGAAAGGTGCTAGCATCGATGTCCTTCGTTGGATTTATGACATTCAACTATAGAAGTTTGTTCCGTTTATTTCTAAAATAAAAATAAATCGTATAGATTACACAATCGAGTGTTGAGAGTTAATCTCTTGTTCGGAAATATTCGTTTATCAAGTGATACAAACTTACTCACAAATATAGGACTAGAAATAGAAAAGGAGAATCAAACAAGAGGATAGCTCGCCATCGTAGCTATTCCACATTGGTTATTTTTGTTTCGACTCATCCATACATATCCATTTTGGCCCCAAGTGGTGCCCCATGAGTTCTTCACAATATAATAAAGTTGATTATCCGTTGCATTGAAACCAACCGCTAGAGCACAATGATCAACTTGAGTTGATGAACACTTTGGTTCATCATAAACACCGGATTTGTAAAATTGAAATGACGGTTGCGATGCATCAATAGTCACTGCTATCGGGCCAATAATTGCAACAGCGTATGTCAACGCATTTTCGTCGTTGACTTTCACATCCCGAAAACCCTAGAAGAAGAAGAAGAAGAAAAACCAAATAGTTTTCTTTGACAAAAATCACGATTCATACAGTCGAATTGGCACCAATATTTGTACGATTAAATCGGCAATTACCATTGCGTGCTTCGTACGGATAACTTTCTTCTGTATCGATTCCACCATTGACTTTGATATATTGAAAAGCAAAATCATTCAATCCACCATTACAACCGGCATTTCCGAAACTGTCCGAGCAATCCATCAAGTTTTGAGCAGACAGTGATACAAGTTTTCTTGTTTGATGAAAATGTTGTCCTTCAAGCGAGCCAGTCGCTGAAAAGGCCCAACTTGAACCACATTTTCCTTGATTTTTAACTGGCGTAACCGCACCTTCATTACGCCAATCTAGAACACAATACCATTGTATCAATTTGCACATCAAGGCGGAATATAGCATAGCGATAAATCATACCAACAGCATGTGGAACATTCACATGACGTCGAGTCGGTTTCAATTCTCCAGTACTTTTCGGTATTTTCATGGGAGTTAGTTTGGTTTGAAATTCTTTATGCGTCTAATCGAATAGTGGAAACTGTAATTATGAAATCTCCAGTGAAAGTCTATACCATATCACCAAATTGATTCATTCCCAAGCGATAAGTATAGTGACCTCGGTCAGCTTTATGGTTATGTTCATAGATTTTAGCTAGATTTATTTCCCAAACATTTCGTCTGTTCGAAAAGCGAAAGTAAGAGTTGCAGGAAAGAGAAATCTTTATATTTACCGCATTACTTCTTCTTCTATCGAGTTATATTGTTTTTCATAAGTGTGCTTGAAAAGATTCCATTCATCATCAAGATATTGGTCGGGTATCGATGCACAATGAGTATTAACAAGCAAAAAACAAAGAATAATAATCGACTTCATCATAGATAGGTATTCAGTGAGTCTTTTTGTTTTGTGTTTATATATGACATCTCGCTTTTTTTCATATCATCATTACGTTCTGCAAAGATAAGAAGAGAGATTTAAATAACTGCCTTCATGTGCGTACCTTTGTCATTCATCCGATAGGCGTGTAATAAAAAGGTTCGTCAAAAATACCTGTAGATCGATATCTCGATGAGCAATAACTCAGCAAGTTTTCGTAAGGAAGTGTACACTCTTTAAAAACATAAAATATTTTTTACCACATTGCGTCAACATGTATGACGTCATCATTACCAAGAAGGTTTTTTCCAATAGATGACTCATGTATCTTATTTGATTTTCGCGTGGGAATCTGTTATACATATTCATCTACTTTACTGTCACATTTTCACTCGTATTCACTTCCTGGCATGATGCACATTGTGTGCGATCATCGTGGAAGTCATAATCGTTTTCAAATACGAAAACACCACGATATCAATTTGAGACGCAAGCAATACCAAAGAACGCAAAGAAAAACATCACGTGGCAGTCAGTCGAAAAAGACATCAATTCATTTCGATACACATATGCTGTCAGACTCAACTAATGAATCGGAATATGATGGTAATCAAATCGACCTCGAAGTTCTTGTTTTCCACTCAGTTCCCAAATCACTTAAAACCTTGTTCAATATTTTTCAAACTTCCTGCACATTTAGATCATTCTATCCAATCGAAACATTATTGTTCGTGGGTGTGCACGAAGAACATGTACCACTGATTGACATGTGTCTCGCACAGCCTGGCAGCTTTAATGTAGATACACAATTAAATGACGGTATTATCAGTCAAATGAAGGATGATCTGGTACAGAATTATCGATTTGATCAAGATACTGGAACAGCGCTATGGTTTGCATGTTACTATGGCCATTTAAATATTGTTCGTGCATTGATTGAACATGGCCATGCAGATGTTGATCTCCCTAATTGTAAATATCAATCCCCCCTTCATGCAGCTATAGCTCAACAACACATGGATATAGTCAGATACTTAGTCGAACAAGCACATGCAAATATTGACGATATTCGACATTTAATGGTTGCGCTCAAAACGGAAAATTGCGACATGGTTGATTATTTGTTAAATCAAGGATGTGATCCAAATACGCGTTTGCTCGACGAACCAGTCGATCGAACTTATTTTGCACTGCATTATGCTATTAGTCAGATCTCTTCAAATATATCAATTGTACAAACTCTCTTAGACAAAGGTGCTAATCCAACGATCCAAGATGAAAGAAATCAAACCGCTTTACACGTGGCTGTTCAATGCAGAGATGAACAAAAAGTTAAAGAGATCTTACGTCGTGAATTTCACCATAGACAAAGAGATAACAATGGTGATACGCCATTAATGTTAGCTATGACACTGGAATCTAGAAATGTGATTGACGTCTTTTACAGACTCTATCCTCGACAAGACTATATTGATGAATTGATGTTAGCAGCTTGTAAATGGGCATTTCATGAGCGATTTGCCTTTTTTGAAGATACATCCATTGCGTATATATTCTTTGAACAAGCGCTACGATTACAAGAACCGAATGTTAGTGCTATACCAGCATGTGATATTTATCTTTTTCGAACAGAATGTCAAACAATCGATGAATTAATGCTGATCCGGGACGTTCCCGACCTGATGTACATTCAAGCCTTTTTAGTTTGTGAACGGCTACTTCCACAACGCGACGAAATTCATCTTCTCATTCCGGAATTGTTCAGGCTGTATGATATTTATCATCAAGCTACGGAATATGATCGTTGCTTGTTATTGTTAATGCACATGTTTCCATTGATTTTATCATCGAGAGAAAACTCATTCCGTTTCTGGCGTACAGATTGTTTAGCACTGTTCGTGGAATTGTTGGGCACACTTATTGTAGAGGATAATATACGGCTCATTGATGAGATTGTGAAAGCGTTTGGATTCATTTTCCGTATAACAGATCGTCTTTCCGAGTTAGTTTACTCGTGTCTATATGTTGCTTATGTAAGTTGTAAATCATTCAAATAGTTATAAGAAATGTTCGTTTTGATTTAAGGCGATAGAAAACGATCAATTTAGTCTAAAGAACAAACATCAATTACTGCAATATGTAAAGGAAGCTGTGCATCGGAAATTTGAAATTGGCTGTAGAGATCTCTTCGAAAGCGTTTCGCGACAATGTGTTTTTAGGTCTGATGATCCATTTTTCCGAAGGTAGTGACTTTCATTCTATTAGTCTACGGTTGTCTAATTAAGTGTTGTTTTTCGTAAAGGATTATCCCTGTGAATGTTATTCGAATGTTGATTCATTGTGGAGCAGATGTTAATATACTAGTGTTTGGAGACGATACATCCTATCGAAGAAACAGCAGTCTATTACATCTCATTGCACACAGCGGTGATATTGATCTTGTTCAGCCCATTGTGGAATTACTCGTGGCAGCTGGTATTCACACTGATCGTCTCGATACTCACGGACACTTACCAGAACAATGTGCAACAAATACTGAAATAAGAGAGTTATTACATTCAAAACGATCGTTGTTACTCAAATGTCAATGTGCTCATTTGATTCTTGCTGAGCAGATATCATATGAGTCATATTTATCGAACAGCTTGAAGAGCTTCGTCCGTATGCATCGAATTCAGAACTAGATCGCAAGTGCCGTTTCAATTTNAGCACGAGTCCAACTTCAAATGCTCTGGAGAATGCACCATTTTGAAACAAACAATACAGAACTGAATATTTATTTTCTTGGTGGACAAATTTGTTTCATCGTTCTTCTTTCATCAACAAAGTTCTATACGATTAATCACGTTGACACATCAATTTTTGAGTAAATGCTTCCAGCAAATTGAGTAATGTTCGCCGAAATACACGCCCTCCAGTTAGCGTATAGATATAAAACGGCATTCCCGAAGCAATGTAAAGAAAGAGCAGAAACAAGTTGAAAACGAAGCTTTCAGTAGTATTTTGTAATGCTGACTTTACGCTGTTTCTGGTTATCGTTGTATAAAGTTTCGAAACAGCCATTGGCATAGTGAATATAAGAAGAACAATGACTTGAACAAAGAGCATGATCAATAAATGACGATCCATTCGTTTTTGTTGACTTTGGCTGTCACTGCCGGTCATTGCTATGTTTTGCATTACACAGCTATCCACTGTCACAGATGTCGGTTGTAAACGAGCTCGTGATTGACGCAGGTTCGATGTGATCATCAATCCAAATATAAGCATCAGAAATAATGGACATGCGATGGTGATCAAAGCAAAACATAAATCTGATATGATGCCACACATCACTGTTTTTGTGTAGCATTTTAATGGCGTATTAGTGAGATTCGCTTCGAAACAAAACAGTTGTTGTATTTGCAAAAGTGATGAGAGTATGAGGATGAGAATTGCACCACGCTGAGCTCTCTTCAATGTACTCAATCGTCGTCGATTTGTGTTGATACTTGATGAAAGCCACCGGTCAACTGTCGCAAGCATAATAAGCCAAAATCCAGCTGTCATTGAGCCAAACACAAGAAAGATGCGTAGTTTGCACAGAAACTGATTAGTATTGGTTAGATCAGCTTCCCACGTGGACAGAAATCGTGAGATGATACCGGCAAGAATACTAACTAGAAAAGCAATCGATGACATGAGAAAGAGCCATGTACATGGATTTGACCGTAGCGGTTTTTGCGCGAGTACGAGAATGTTGAAAGTATTGCCGATAACTCCGAAGAGAAAGATGAAAATGGCAAAGTAACGATTGATTTGCGCTGAAGCGTTGTTCAACAAGACGATAATGTCTGCATCTGTTGATGGCATGACTGTGCTCAATGAATAGTTTTTCAAGTGTAGAATGGGGTTAAATATATTTGGAAAGGATGAAACCTGCGTCATTCTATTTTAAATACTTCATCAGAGTTGCAATTTAACAGAGTGAAAAGATAATTAACAATAAAATTCTATTGACGTCATAAGGATTAAACAAATTCACAAGGAGGAAATACTAATGCATGGATTATTTCTATGAATGAAATTTTTTGAAGAATATTAGTAATTGTGAAGATTTTCACAAAAATAGCCTCTCCTAAGGGCGTCCAGTTACAAAGAATCATCAAACTATTCCTACATTTGTGTTATTTTCTAATGAGGTTCATGAAGAACTCTTCTTTGTCTATCATCTTAACGTAAACAGGAAACTATACTGCAAATGAACATTCATGAAAACCAACAATTGAGGATAAGAAAGACATGAAGATATCATGATTGCAGCTATTGTATGTCATTCATTTCCTGTTATTTTGACGGCAAATATGAAACGATAAGAAATAAAATTTTTTGTGTGCAAAATGTGGGTTAAGTCATGCATAATTACGATTTCAGTTTTGTGAAACAGACACAAAGTATTTCTGAACAGATTTATCTATGGGATCGCAATATCATGTGAAACATCACTTGATTTATGTCGCGGATTAACCGTATCTTTTACAAGATCTACAACAAATCTTATTTGATATTACAATGCTCAGAGGATGGAAAGCTCAATCAATGTTTCGCTCTCTTGTATTTATTGATAATATCTCAGAACATGGGTCTTGAATGAAAAATGGCCAAGTCATCAGATAAAAATTTGATAAGGCGATGTGTAGACCACTTTGCGTGTTGTTGTAACGACTCGTGTTTTGACAATCGGACAGGCATCAATAGTCACCACTTGAACCGGCTCTTCACATTCACTGACTGTATAAACACAGTGTGGAGTACGATGAAGTGGTGGCACTTGAACTTCACTATTGTCGTAATAAGATTCGAAAACAGAATTCGAATAAGCAGAGGAAGGATACGTGTTCATTTCGCTATGCCGACTTTCGGAGTCATGAGAGAACGCGCATACTTTTTCGCATATATATATATATATATATATATACCCAGGACGACTGCGCACGGAGAGGAAATAGGTATCGGCAATTTGTTTGAGAAAAACAAACAATTAACTGTACTTGAATGGTGTGACCACATATATCATATGCTAAGTAAATATGGTGACACACATTGCTATTTATTTATTTATGTATTTTCGTACACATTCTATCATGTGAAAACAGTGCGTGTAGAGAAAAATTACTCGATATGATATATAGGCATGAACAGATCGATCGATGAAAAATAAACTTGTTGTGCGTGTATATATTTATAGGAATGCAGCATGAAAAATAGTTCTCGACTGAGCCATCGGAAAACTATTGATACTTCTTCATGAAAAATCGATTATGTTTTTGTCATGCACATACATCCCGTTAATCATTGGATGAAGAAGTTTTCGTCTCTCGTTGATCACACTCTTAACTCCGTCCGATCCAAGTGATTTTTAATAATACCATGTACTAGTTGTTATAGTACCAGTGGAATTGTAGTTGATCGATACGGTCACCTGAACGTCCAGTAACATATCCCACTGTGCAGTTTGCCAGTTCTTCCGTCAGTACATGTTCCACAAGATGATCGATTGATTTACTTGTTCTTCCATGAGTGATGAAGAATCGTATATCATGAACATAGTCGCTGTTAAGTACTGCCTGAATTTTATTAATTTTATCATTTGTATCCAGACGAGATTCTTCCATTAGATCATTGTTGTGAGGATCCGTTGCGGATCAGATGAAGATGAATATACAAACGAGCATGCGGTTAAACGATCTCCCGAACGATAAATATCTATTCGACGAAGATAATTCGGATTTGGGCGTCCTTTTTTGTATAGATTACATGAAACTTGCATTTCTGCTTACTACATCAATTTCTACTTAGACTAAATCTTTGAATTCTACTGTTATTCATAGCCGCTACGGAGATATTCCCATATGTTTCAAAAGCCATCATGTGTGGACTGTTCAGCTGACTGGCCGTTGGTCCCAGTTCGCCTGAACAAGCAGCAATAGCTTTGAATCCATTTGGTGTCGAGCGAATTATTCGATGCAAACGGTTTTCGACATTAAATACATTTCTATCGGCATCCAAGGTAACACTCGTAGGTCTGTTAAGTATAAAATCTACGTCTGCGCCGAAACCTGCAATTGTCACTGCGACCTGTTGATCGATTGCAAAACGCTGTATTCGATTGTTGTTTGTGTCCGCAACAAATAGATTGAAATGATCATCTACAAAGATTCCATGAGGATGATCAAGCATATTTAATGTTGGTCCTGGACAACCAGTGCCAACTATAACACTCAGTTACGTTTCAGGCATGTCATAGACCATTTTGAAAATACGGTTTTCGTTTGTCAGAGAACAGTATAAGTTCTGATGAACTATTAATAATGAATACACGTCGAAGTTCCGTTGCGTTCAAATCCCATCTTTCGATTCGACGCTGTGAATAGCCGTTATCAACATAAATATAGTTAGTAGCGACAAAACTACTTTTTGATCGATCGAAATTTCCAACAGTAGTGCTCATTACTGTAAATAGTTGATCCAACAACACTGAATTGCCGTTAATACCGTTCTCCCAAGTAACTACATGAATACGATTTTGGCCATCAAGAGACACATCAACTGGCTGTGGACCAACTATAGTTGTATTGGCAAATGTTGTTGCTTGACTCTCCCACGATGCACAAAAGCTCAAACTAGGTCAATGTAGAGAAATACCTATTCAAATATCCAAGAAATTGTTTAGTAATATTCATGCTCTCATTCCATGATCTGTTGTATTCAACAACAAAAATTTACCCGTAGCACTATTCTTAGTCAACACCAAAAGAATGGACTAAACTATAAACATCGTTATATGAAAGCACCTCTGCTACATACTCTCTCTTCGCACACCGACTGTTCTGATGAAAAGAACATATATTAGAACTCTAACTATATTGACTATGTCTGTGTAACTTAATACTTGAACTGTATTTGCCGCGTTCTTTTGAAAATAAACTAGAGTAGAAGATCGTAGGCACGCCATAACTTCACCGTCATGATTTATATACAATTGTACGCCAATACTTGAAATGTACGTGGCTTTAGTGTTAGTTTATGAAATTCTTTGAATAAATTCAATTTGTAAACCTTTCGGTTTCATCACTTATTATATTAACAAAGGTAGTCAAAGTGTTTCACAAAATCAAACTGAATTGAATGAAAGTTAAAGTAAAGTAATATCAGGCTTCATAATAAATCACACAAGTATTTGCACAGCAAATATGACGTGCTATTTCAAACCCTAATTCTCAATGAAAACAATATTCTGGTGAATAACGATCATCGTTTGTCAGTGTGTTGATTTCTTTTGGTTTCAAGCGTCGCGAGTGAACACGAAGTTCATCGACATCTATCGAACTTCCGGGCGGGATAGATTGTCGTTAATACCGCTGTTGGATGATACCAAGCAAACTGTAGCATTGAAGCGTTTAATTGATAGCGTCTATGAATATGGATAATTATGAGTGTAAAGAAGAGCAAAACCTGATGATTGAAAAGAAGATGATGAAGAGTCATTGAAAAGAAACGAGCCTCTTCTGGTTTGTACATTATACCAGAGCCATTCAGAAGGCTTCCGTCCTGTGCACGAATTGAATCTTTATTTGAATCAGCTAATAAACTACGATTCCTCCCAGAAGTATTATCAGAATGATAGCAAACAACGAGGATTACTTCATTGAGTATAATAATTCTATTTATAACGCTATACGCTACGGAAAGCTGATCAACTAGACCATTATATCGATTGTTGATGTTTTTAATATGAAATTCATCATACTTAAGAGAGATAGTTCCATCAACGCGAATAAACATCGATAAATCGCTTTGATAGAAAACATACGTTACATATTGCTATTGAAAGTTTCACAGTTGTACTGATGCATTCGCGGACGGCCGTAAACAATTTTGAGAAAAACGTTAGTACCATCTTGATATTTATACATTTGAGCTAATACCGCAGCGTTCGAGTGTGTAAAAGGATTGGATTAAAGCCGTGCGCTGACTATAAATGATAAGGAACGGACGAGTCTAGTTGAGCAGCTGATCCTTGATCAGAATGACATGCTTTGTAATATTTCATTCTAGACAGTTTAGTTATTTATTATGTATTCAAAAAATAACGCTTACGTCGAAATCAGTGTTGGATAATAATACAGCAGGATAATCATTGTATGGTCCGGTAACATCGTCGATGGCGTTTAAATGATCGAATGTTTCTCCTTTGAAAAGCTTCTCGAGGTCTCTCTGTTTGCTGATGATCTTCGAGTGCTAGCGGACGACAGCCTTTGATTACAGAACTTTCTTTCTCTCCTGAGCGAATTTGATCTCCATCGTCACAACAGCTTATCTTTAGTTTATTTAACAATGAAGATAACAAAACAGTCATTTTTTGTTAGTTCTACGGACGTGACAATTTGAATGAATTTTCATAGGTGAAATCATCTACTGATATAACGATATTATATATATGCAAATGAGCTCCATTTTTGCTTGACTAAAGTGAGAGAATCGATTTAGAAGTGCTCGGTTTCGTTTTGCAAATACGGATTACACTCGATGTATTCAGATGCAAAATTGACATTTTTTTGTAATCCGATATTTATTTTGATATATTCTCTGCTATTAACAGTATTTTGACATCGCTTCATTTTTATAGGATTGATTGATGGATCAGAATACTCTCCGACAATACGAACATCGCGTCGGATGCGTCCTAGTCGGTGAAGCATTCTGTGATGGCTGCAATCATCGATTTGGAGAAGGTGAAATGGCATTTCGATGTTTAGAATGCAGTGGTTTCATATGTCCGGGAGCCGAGAAACGTCCTGTTCGACAGACAGAAATCACGACTACAACTCGAATACAAGACGGAGCGGCCATTCAACTAGCAACATCGGAAACGGCGTTATTTAGTGGCTATGACCTATGTTTGACTTGTGCGAAAAAAACTTCCGTTCATTCGCATCATCGTTTTACTTTAGCGGTTTATCGTAAAAAGAATTCAACGTATGTGTTCAGCTAAAAGTGTTTTTCTTTTTATTTAAAGCAATTGACTTGAACTGATTGTGTATTGACCGAATTAGGATCGATATAGATGTTGAAAACTCCTTGTTCTCAAATATAATTCATATTCGAGTCGAAGAATTTCAAATCTTCTGTTGTTACAATAACTGTAATTTCTTGTCGTTGTCTAACTGGGCGAAATACCTTTGGAAAGTTTTTAATTCACGTACCGCTCGTGTTACGCTAGCAACCAGATCACCGATGTACAATTGTATAATTTCCTTGACATAGTATGCGTCCGTATTGCTGATAGCAAAGCGAATAGTTAAACGGTCCGAGCCTCCGTGAAGTTCAGTTTTAACAGGGTTTAATGGGCCAAAACTGAATGTTGTATAAATAAGACCATAGTTGAACGGATACAGAGGATCATTGGGTATATCTAAATATCGACTCTAAAGGAAATTTGCATAACGAAAAAATGTATTTGATAGACGCTTTTTTACCCTATATTGATCGAGAAAATCACTTGAATTGCGCGGCCGCTGGTCTTGTGGTTGTAATAGAGTGAGATTTATCCAACTGAACGTGGAAATATTTGCTGTTAGCTTACTAACTGGATTGTAATACTCAAAAAGTACTGCAGCTACTGAATTGCCTGTTTCCGTGCTTCTAAAATTGCTGTTCCATACTGATCTTCCCGAGTCAGTATTAGCGGTTGTCCGTTCATCAATACGATCATTATAGGTTTACCAGTTCGAAATAGTGCGTGAAGTAACCGTTGTGGACATACAGGTAATCCAATATCTGCTCGACTAGATGCTTCTCTCTGGTCATATTTTGTGATTTGTCCGATGACTGCAATGAATACATTAGACTTCTGCGTAGCTGCAACTGTTTCATCGATTCTCTGTGTCATTGTTCGGTTGTCTAGGATGATTTGGCTCTTCTACATGCGAAATTTGGATTTCATTGCCTATAAGTTGATTAGTGCCTTCAAGAACACTAACAGATTGATTCCAGCTGCCCGTACCACTCCAGACATGAAGTAAATTTCAATGACCGTCAGCTAAGGAAGCAACCCAAGTAATTGTCAGATTTGATCTCGGAAACGATAAAATTTGTTTATCATTTTTCTATAGTACGAAAGAACGACGAGCGAAGTCTCTTGAAGGTAAATGATTTTCTTTTGTAAATATATCTATGTATGCGCACGTGCTTCATTCACATAATGAAGAAAATCATTCAGTAAATCTAATTGATATATTGCTTCAAGAATGCGGTGATACTCTTGAATAATTCTTTGATCAGTCACCTTTTCTTCTTGAAAAACACCCTCAACCATGAGCAATTAGTTCGCTAATTGCGGTAAAATTCTATTGACCACGAAGCAGATCATTTAACTGCCATTGATCTGCTGTTGATGGAGCGTCATTCATCTAATTGAAGGAAATCATCACCCTACCAGCACCCGCATCGATAGCGGCACGATGAGGAGGAAGCTAAAATTCAAACACTCGTATGCACCCCATATCGACCGAATTGTATTCTCCTCTGCTCTCGACTGCACCGTATAAACCGAAATATCTAAAACACGCCTAGACTGTGTCAACATCGCTCAAATTCTTCTCTTGATATCCACATACCATCGCAGCCACGACTTGACTGCCTAACAACGGATCTTCATCAGCACCTTCCATGATTCTTCTCCAACGTGGATCACGTGCAATATCAACAATAGGCGAAAACACCCAAATGAGAGCATCTGCAGTTGCCTCTTGGACTGCGGTACGCGCACTTTGTTCGTTCAAGGTCATATTCCATGTTGCACTCAAAGGTAGTGCAAAGGGGAACATTGCCCTGTGTTCATGAATAACATCGAAACCAAAGATAAAAGGCGCTTTTAAACGTGTTGGCGACAGCACCAACTTCACCACATGCAATTTTCTTTCTTAATTCGTCGTTGATAATTGGAACATCATCACCATCAATACCAACACTGACAAGATTTAATTGATCGATTTTTTCATCAAGTTGTCATTTCAAATAGATGTTTGTCAACAACCGATACTATACGTTCCTTCGATTGAAATTATTATCAGTTTTTGCTAAAGAAAGTTTCCAGTTGAAATCGAGCGCTTCGGATGGACTATATGATGAAGGGAAACGAATCTTCTTGTAAATTGTTCTTTAAACGAATGATGTCAGTCTTAAAAAAACTTCCCCATCCCGACTCATTCTTACATGAGCTAGATCAAAGTAACCGTGAGAGTCCGATTGATGAAGAATAGAACATTTCTATTGACAATTTTAGCTCACGTAGAGAATCTCGATAGCGGCGTTATTTATGCCGGCCTGACAATGTGTCATATAATCGACCAAACGGCCAGTAATTAACATCGAAGGGGAAACAGTAGACTCTAGGACGTTGGAATCCCTCTTGGAGCCCTTTGCATAATGGTCTAGCTGCTATCTGTCCTTCTATGTTTAGTAAAGCTAGTCAGCAACAGAATGAGTAGAAATCAACCGCTTGTGTTTATGGAATGAGCACTGATTTCAATTGTGACCTTTCCTTACACGTAAATCCAATTGGTTTTGAGAACTCAACACAAAAAAAGTATGCATAGGTGTTCGGTCATGAAACATTTCAGTGTAGCTGTAAGGATAGGGCACATGCCTCGCTTTAACTTGACGATAAGTGCGAAAGAGCAAGCAGCATTAAGTGCCGTTTTGCCACTTCTGCATTAAATCATTTGTAAATATCTTTTGCAAAAACAAATAAACGGACCCGTGACATTATAAAGCCATTTTCCATATGCCAATTCACTGCGTCGTTTTTTTTTGTCTAAACAACAGCAATATATTTTCGGTTTGGAAGCACTGTGTTTGCTTTCCAAATGAAAAACATTCTAAATCTACTGACGGTAAGTGCGTCATAATTTTCTTCCATGCGCAATCACACATTTCTCCATATTCCTTCACAGAAACTTCCCATTTGTTCTTTTTATAATGTTTTAGAATAATGAGGAAGTTTTACATACAGCCTTGCTCTTTTACACCGAAGTCAATACTCTCAAGAAGATATTCGTATGCATAAGCAAGCCATCTTGAATGAGACCGCCATCGCTCTATATTCGTACAATGCTGAAATAATTCTTGCGTCATTCTATATTTCGGTAGATTCACCGATTTCTAGGTGTGATTATACATTGTGGTGCAGAAGATCATTACACAAATATTTACTTTTAGCACGAACAATATTACCTGCTGTAGAACTACTTTGGGCGATGCTGAAAATTTAAATCTGATCATCAACGACTAAATCAGTCATGACATTTCGTTTAGCTTCTCTTCTATTTTCTCGCCAAAAGGACAGAGGAAAGGAAAAAAAGAAAAACATTCACTATTGACATAATAGCAACTAAAGACAAGGAGAAGAAATATCGTATAGGCAAACAATTCACAGAATGCAATCAGCAAAATTCTGCCTTGTCAACATCATTCTTCGTGATATAACAATGATCGTCACACTTGACATAGCTACTAAAGAGTAGTTGGAAAGAAGAATAGTTATCGTCATTCTACTCTCGATTTGAATATGTTATACACTCATATAGCACATGTGTTTACATCGTGTTTCTATAGAACAAGCGTAAGAAAATGTCATGATAGAGGCATAAGAGCCTTGCCTGTAGATGTATTTCTCAATTTAAAATATTGCATTTCACCATATTGATGCAAGTTATGCTTGACACACAGCTTGGTAATGAAGTTCGTGAAGCCTATTGGATGCTTTAAAATAAAAACATTAACATGCTTTTCTTTTTTGCGTTCGGATTGAAAATTGTCAAAATTCTTTATATATAAGTAGCAGAAAAAGAAAAGTAGTTTTCTTCACTATGAACGCGAGTTTTCATTTTCTTATTCCACAAGTAGAATAAAACTCGAGAACTATTCAAATAGATTCTTACATCATGGCTTCATCTAGTCGTACAGTTGATAAATTTGCCTGCGAAACATCGCGATATCTTTTGCCAACGTTCCGTCGTCCAGGTTATCGTGAAATAATGGACACACATGTCGAACACGATCCCGAACATGAAGTTTTTCCCATATGGACCAAAGAAGATGGACAATACTATCGTATCATCAACACGGCACTACTTAATGATAACTACGATGTATTAAAAAAGAATGTCAAGTTTATCAATAGCCTACGACGTGCAATTCGAGATAACAATGCAAAAGAATCGGTGAAAGTTTATCGCGGTTTGTGTATACCAAGTAAACATGTTAATCAGGAATATAAAGTAGGTTTACAGTTTCTATGGCCGACATTTACCTGCACATCGAGAAATAAGGACATGGCGCATGTTTTTGGTGAGTATACATTTGAAATTGAAACGTCAAGTCAAGATTGGACTTATCGGAGTGATATTTCGAAATATTCGATGTTTCCTGAAGAGGAAGAAGTGTTATTTTATCCATATAGTGGATTTGTTGTTCAGAATGTTATACCAGATGCGAAAATCATTCAGCTGAAATGTGTCGATACATTACACGTTGAAGAAACATCGGAAAAACTCATTCCTGCAGAAGTGCAAATCGTCGATTCATCAAGAAATATCTTTGTTTACTTTTACAAGAAAGCGTCCGAAGTGTACTGGTCTTATGCGAATAAGCCTGATCAACGATTTCTCATTGCTGGCAATCAGAGTGGATACTGGGATGCACCTTATCGGTACCATCATCGGAGAGGATATTTTATACACAAAGGAACGAATCTATGGGAAGAATATCAAAATGATGAATGTTTTGCGACGTTTACTCGAATTGGTTTGGGAAATAACTAAAAGAAAAATATACGTTAATTCATTTCTTTCAAGTAACACTGTTGCTATCACATGGAGTCATTATTTTTTGTTTTTATGTGATTTTATGTTTTCAAATCAGCGGCGAGGTTATGAGACCATATAGTATTTGTCGAAATTTTTTCCTTCTTGCTGCGAAGCATGTGCTTCGCTCATATCTCAAACAATAAATTTTCTCCTGTTGAAAGACATGCCGAACAGGTGAATAAACAAACAAAGTGCGAAGTTTACTCTGTCAACATACTGTTTTTTTTTAAAGCAAGAGAGTAGTATAATACATTTGCGATCGAGTCGGTCTGTTGTCAGTAACAAACATAAAAAAGAAATGGTTGTTTCGATCGTGTGTCTCTTATTGTTTTTCATCCAAACAATCAGTAGTCAAAGTAAGGACGGGATGAACTGAAAGTATCTATATAAATGTAAAATCTAGACTGTTCAACTAGCAATCCATGTGGAACATATGGTTACTGTGTTGATACTAGTGGTGGCGGAATAGAATGTGTATGCAAGTTTTGGTGGAAAGGAGACTTTTGTGATCAACGTAAGTTTTCATCTGTTGTTATCTCCTGTAGAAAAGACTGAATTATCTGTAGAATCAAGTAGTGGCATTCAAGTGATTGTTCTGGGAGTGTTATCAGGTATTCTTCTGATATTTTTCTATGCTCTTTCCATAATTTGTGGACGTCAACGACGAAAAGAACAACCGAAGAAGGAGAAAAAGTGAGAAATATGAAATACTTGGCGATTTATTATATTTTTCATTCAAAGAAAGAACCCAAAACTTAATTCAAAATTAAGTGATGTCGCGGTTGTCAATGTGAAACGATCGTTTCAGTTATCATCATGCTTAGTGTTCATTCTCATGATAATTGTCGCAACAGTTGCATTAGTTATCAAATGGTTATTATTACAACCGATACACAATAATTTAGTACAAAAATATACCAACAGTGAACTGTTATATTATCACCGAATATCTTTTTGTGATGTCATTGATCGAGATGGTTATGATTTGATATCACTACCTGTGGCGGGTTTCTTTATCATAGTTTTTGTTATTTTTTCTAAGAGAACATCATGTTTACGACAAAAACTACGAAGCTTTATTGGTCCGGTTATTCCCATGGACTTTTATATTCACGTCAAACGAAAACTTGCTGCTGTTATATTTGCTGTTATTGCTGATGATCTTTTGAGTATTGTTATTGCAGTTATCAATGGTGAAGGAACACAGGGGGAAGGTGAAGATTTTCCATGAGGAAGAAAAGCGAATATGACTTCTTTTCTGTGTTCTCTAGGGGTTATTGTTGTTTATTTGATGCGAATAGCTAACATTTTGGTAATTGGCATTCACTATTACCCGTTACTAGCTGGTGCTTATATAGATTCGATCTTGGCATGGAGTTGCGCAACACTTTATGCTTGGTTAATTTTTAGTTTGGCAATCATTGAACAAGGTTTATGTCAAACAGGTTTTTACACATCGGACGAGTATCCGGACGATGTCAATAATACAGATACTGGAATGTACTTTGATTTTTATGGTACAGGTCCAAATCTGCTGATAATTGAACTTGTCACAGATATTCCTCGATATTTATGTTGGGCTTATATAGTTGTCAAATTTCCAATGTTATTAATTGAGAAAATCTATCAAACGGCTAAAAAACGAAATAGAGAATCTTCTTCGCATATTCATTTAACTAGAGAAGAGAAAAATCTTCTACATTCATCAGCAAGTCATTCAGTTGAAAGATCTTATGTGAGAAATCTGTTTCGTGGAAAGAATCGATGTTTGCGAAGTCGATTACTTTTTGGACGATTGATGCCAACATTTATTTATCAATGGCGAGATGATTTTCGATTTTCATCACGAATATTTTGTGTTTATGCATCAATATTTCTTCTTTTGTATTTTATTACAATTCAGTCATTGATACGATTTATTCCATATTTAAATACATTTGAAAAAGTCATTGGAGAACTAATGGATACTATCGCACAAATTGGCAACTCGGGAGGTATAAACAAACAATTTCCAGTTCCAAATCTGACTCGTCCATTTGTATTTGCAATCTTAACTGCATTTGTCATTACAACTCTTCAGCTGTTGATTCTCTTGGCAAATATTCGACGAAATTTATTTCAGATTTATCGCGGTGATGATTCGGAGATTCCTTTGAGAACTAATTCTCGATATCTTAGTTATTCTTCGGGAAATTTTCATTTTGCAGGATATTTTATTGGTTATATTTTTTGGGGATATATCCTGATTGCAATATTAGCATTGATTGTTTATATTTGTATCGCATCATTCATTACATTCGGAAGTGTTCGATTTCTTGAGAAGATTCTCAAAGCGATCATTCCCGTGTTATTGATGATTATTTTCAAACTGTATTTGAATAAATTATTGGCAAGATATGTGTTTTTACAAGATCACGGTGATGTTTTAGCGATTAACAATCGACGAGTATTGATGATCTTCTTATATTTTAACTTCTTTCTCGATTCATTTCTTGGTTTGATATCTTCGATCATACGAATCATCTTAAGTGTAATTGCAGGTTTCTTTTACATGTGTCGTTTGGATTATTCACCATTGGGAAGAAAACTTGAAACATTAGATTCAGGATTTGCTGCTTATTGTGGTTTTATTCATATCGAAGCAGCACATCGAAATCCGATCATGTTGACAATGGCAAGTTATTTGTATGGAGAAATGAAAAGAAAACAACACTTAACAGATAATTCAATGATGGTGACTTCGATCGAAAGAAAACGTGAAAAGAATTCATCAAACGCAGTTCGTCGATGGCATTTAGCAGTTCTTTTATTACGAAATCCATCCTTGGTATTGTTGAGAAAAAGTGCTCTTGCTGCAAAAGAAGATAAGAAGGAGAAGGATATGTTCGAGAAGAAACAAAGAATATCAGTGATCGAAGAGATGACTCATAGACCAAGTTTGATTTCTGAAAGTGATTTCGAACGAATNGAAAGAAAACGTGAAAAGAATTCATCAAACGCAGTTCGTCGATGGCATTTAGCAGTTCTTTTATTACGAAATCCATCCTTGGTATTGTTGAGAAAAAGTGCTCTTGCTGCAAAAGAAGATAAGAAGGAGAAGGATATGTTCGAGAACAAACAAAGAATATCAGTGATCGAAGAGATGACTCATAGACCAAGTTTGATTTCTGAAAGTGATTTCGAACGAATGTGGCAAAAGAAATGTTGATCGAATGGTTACATTCCATGAAAGTTATCAATGACACTTGTTCAATCTCTCTTTGGATTCATTATTCTTTCATACTTGTATTATTATTGATCATTAAAAGTATGTTTTCATATCATTCGAATAGTATAGTCATTCTCTGTTATTCTGAACTTTTCAATTGAAAATGTAATAAACCTGCAAGTGCTGATTGAAATCCTGCATTGTAATCAGTAGTGACTTCATTCTTGACAAAATCATCACGTCTGTCTTCATAATTATCATTTTCATCAGGTCCTCCAACTAAAGCACCAATGAGAAGTTGTGGATTAGGATGAGGACTAGAATATGCATTCCAATCACATATTGTTGGTCGATCAGGACAAGAACTAGAGTAGAGAGAGAGAGAGAGAGAGAGAGAGAGAGAGAAAGGGAAGATAACGATCTGAGAGATACCTGGATACATGATGAGGTCGTTTGGGATAGTTCTCACCGAAACCGATGACAAATGATCGACCTGAATCACCAAGAATGTAGTTGATTTGTTTAGTTACAAACTTCAAATATTGTGCTTCATTGATGTCGATTTCAGCAGCCTAGGAGATTTAGTTGGGAAAATATGGAAGATATCTATTTGAGTTGTTTTGATGATTACCATAAGGCAAAGAAAAGCAGCGTTGGTGGCATGTCGAAGCGAACCCCATGGAGCGAGAAAGACAAGACCTTTGGGTGTTGTTGGAGCTTGATGAAGTACATAGTGACAGAAATGTTCAGCTTGTGTTCGATAAGTCTGTTTGTTTGTTATTTTCGCCATGAGAATCTGAAGACCAGCTGTTTTGTCATCCCAGCTAAATTGTCGAGGTTGTTTAGCAAGATGAAATTCAGCATAATGTTGTTCAATATCATCTTGATAACGTTGATCACCTGTCGCACGCAGAAGCCAAGCAGCACTCCATCCCAATTCATCTCCATAACCTGACCATGAATTATAGAAATCAGTAATATCAGGTATAGAATGGGAATAGTTGCCACGGAATCGATTGGCAAAGTCATATAATTGTCGAGCATGTGTGAGAAGTAACGAATGATAATCAGGATCAACTGAACGAAAGAGAATTGAGGCAGCAGCTAATGCAGCTGCAGTTTCAGCTATGAGTTCTGAGCCAGGCTTTTCAGGTGTGAGTTTGTATGCAGGTCGTGGTTTTGTCCAATCTTCTGGTCTTGACCAATGTATATGATCATCATGTCCATCACCGACTTGTCCATAGAATTCAAATTCACTAACATGTGCCTAGAGAGAAAAAGAAGAGAAAGAGATGTTGTGGAATTGTTCTAACTTTGATGAAATAATCTGTTGACCATCGAATCGCTTGTCGAACATAGTCGAGTTGACCTGTCCGTCTATAAGCATCTTCATATTCAATTGCACCCCAAGTTAAGATTGTTGTGAATGATGCCATAGGAAAACCAAATTTCACATGATCACCAGCATCAAAATAACCGCCAGTCAGGTCTTCACCATCATGTCCTTTATCCATTAACATCGAATCTCCTCGCCATTTGATTCGATTATCTGGTGGAAGTTTGCCACTTCGTTGTGCTTCGTAGAAGAGTAACGAATTGCTGAGCACAAGTGCATAATCATACTTGCTCGTATTTTGTGAAATAGTGGATATGTTTGTAAGGATGAATTTGTCATTGAATGAAACAGTGAGATTACCATTCTCAATGGGAACACTCAGTGTCGTTTTGAACCCACCTGACCATCGATTATCTATTCGAAGTTGCGCTTGGCAAAGAACAGTAGCGAATGTGGCACAAGCTAGAAAGTATCTGAATAGACGCAGCATGAATAAAGATAAAAAGGGTGATTTTGATGTGATTCGTATATGAATAGTCACATCGAAATTTTCGTTAATCCTCTTCTTTTCTGTTCTATTGAAATATGGATAAGATTGGCATATAATCTGTCGACATTTGACGTGTTCTGGATGCTTTACTTGTTGTTTCGAAAAGAAAGAGATATTACCTGTATGTCAATAAATGGTTTTGTGATGATGATGATGATGATGGAGAAGGTGTAGAAAAAAAGGATCAAAATATGTTCATTCATTCAGATGATACATTTTACAATCATACGATTCGCGTCACTTAGAGACTACCGAAAGAAACTAAGAAACAGTTGATATAGACAGACAATTGGGTATAGTTTGATAGGTTTATTTTGTAAATATAGATGAGATTATATCTCGAAGAAAGTATATTTATGTGAGAGTTCGTGAAAAGCTATCGAAGGCGAAATCGTTGAATTCGACGATTATTATAATCTGAAACATATAGATAAGTTTCAGTTGGATCAAGTGCTAGATCAGCTGGACCATTGAGAAGTTGAGCAGTTTCACCCGAAATGCCAGTAGCACTACCAGCAACAAGTGAACCTTGAGTATCTCCGATATTCCATTTCATAATTCGATTGTTATTATAATCAGCAACATAAAGAGTTTGACCATCACGTGTTACACAAATACCAGCAGGTGAATTCAACTGATTGAAACCTGTACCTGAACCAGCACCTCCTGCTACTGTTATTCCAGTTCGATTTCCACCAATGATAAATTTTTGAATACGATTATTTTGATAATCACTGACATAGACTGCATTTTGATCATCGTTCACATGAATAAACTTTACATATTTTAGTTTCGTACTTGATGATCCTGGACTTAGTCGTTGTCCAGCAACAACTGTGCCATTTTGAGCGCCAGGTATCCATTTAACTACCGTATAACATAAAAATAATGATACATAAATATTTCCATATTGATCTACAGCTACGCCATAAGCAGCGTAGAGTTCATTGGCTAAACAAGAACTTGTTGATAATCCTATTGCAGGAATACTACTATTGATCGTTCCAGGTCGTTGAATGAATACAGTACCTTGATTTACTGATCCATCAACCATATATAATGTATTTGTTCTATCGACAAATACATCCAGTGGTTGAATTAAACCATTGGAAAGAACTATTCGTCCTGTATGTGAAAATGGTGAATAACTATTGAATGTTTGACCATCACAATCAGCAACATATAATATTCCATCGATTGGAGAAATATAAATACCCCAAGGTCCTTGTAAATCTGTTGAACCGATACCAATAGTGCCATTACAAGACCCAACTATTGTTTGACCAACACTGATCGGTGAAACTAATGGAGAGAACTGACGAGAGTGAAGAGAAGATGTTTTTCAGATGAATTCAACATACTTGATGAACATCGAAAAGTTCTATCACATTGTGGTTCACAAGTCAAATTGAGATCTGTTCGACAAGCATTTGCTGTTGAACAAGTTTGATTTTGAAATAGTTGTGCTGTACATATTGAACCATTCCAATATGTTTTCAAAGGACATTGACAAGTGTTCGTGATTTGATCACATATAGAATATCGACTTTGAATACACTTGTCACATGATTGATTATAAATATTTCGATATATATTTGAAAAGAATCGAATACTACCTACAACAGATTGTGATCTGGATGAAATGAGAATCGAACCTGTTGTTGTATCAGCGTCCCACAAACGACATCGTGTTGTATTATGATCAAAATCGTACGTTCGACAATCAGAACGTTGATTACATAAAGAACTACAATATATGAGCTGTGCTGTTGTTGTTGTTGTTGTCAGAAGTGGAGGAATCGAATTATCGAAAGGAAGAAATTCCCAACCAGATTGAGTGATTTGAGATAACGATTGATCTTCTTTTGTGAATTGAATATAATTGAATAAATGAATAAGACAAAGTAAACTTAGTTGTGTAACGATTGTCATTTTGATTGTTTGAGAAATGAGTTTTTTTGTGTGAGAGAAATATTTCTCGTGGATGTTCATTTGAGCAAGAAGAAGAGATGACTGTTCAGAATACAATCATATGGAAGATTGAGTACGTAAATATCCTGTGTAAAATTACATGATATACATCATAATGTTGTAAAATGCATGTAGGCGAGTTGACGTTTATTTTATATTGGAATATTCTTTCATCGTATTTGATAATTATATGAAATAGAAGAAACGAAGAGAAAGTAACACGACTGCCATCTGTCGATGCATTTTTCAATGAATGCTGCATTGTAGATGGTTGCTATGCAATGTCACTGCATCACATCATACACGTTGTGCTCCGTCCGATGTTCGTTCTGTGTCTTTTGATGACTAAGTAAACGCGCGATTTGTATTCTACAAGACAGTCTTAATTTCGTTAATCATAACTAAATGATGTCATATTTGATAGGTAGTTATGGAATTGTGACGCAAAAACGATCATGTGAATGGAGAGAGAAAATAGGAAGGTAGCAATGTATAAATAGGGCAGACAATCTTTCATCGAGTATACAGATTTTTCAACGATTAAGCAATACTCTTGTTGTTGTTGTTGTTGTTGAATGATGGCGAACAAAGAGGAACAAGTGGAACTTGCAAAATTGGCTGAACAAGCAGAACGGTAAGATATTGATATAGATAGAAGATTGATATCTTTGAATTGTATGATCTAATAAATAGATATGTTGATATGGTAAATGCTATGAAAGAAGTGGTTCAATCGAAGAATGAATTAACAGTTGAAGAACGAAATTTACTTTCGATTGCATACAAAAATGTGATTGGAAGTTATCGCAAGCCATGTCGTGTCATATCAGCTATTGAAGTGCGAACTCGAGATAGTGAACATGAAAAAGAAATGGTGAAAAGATATCGAAAGAAGATGGAAAACGAATTGAAAGATGTTTGTTATGAAATTCTGGTAATTGACTTAGTTGATCAACAGAACAACTTTAGAATGAAATGTTCATCTGTTTAGGATCTACTTGATAAGCATTTACTTCCAAATGTAACATCAAATGATGAGAAAGTATTTTATCTGAAAATGAAAGGTGATTATTATCGATATTTGGCAGAAATTGGTGTGGAAAATGAACGAAAAAGTGAGATGATGATGATTTAGTGAAATGAAAATTGATAAATTTTATTAAAGAATGGGCAGAAGAATCCAAAAATGCTTATAAAGATGGTTATGATTTGGCTCAAAGTGAAATGATTGTAACTCATCCAATTCGTCTTGGACTTGCTTTGAACTTTTCTGTTTTTTATTATGAAATCGCCAATGAATCTGATGTTGCTTGTCGTTTAGCCAAACAGGTTCGATGATATTCGATTAGTTCAGTTAATAGAAATATTCGTCATGTTTTGTTTAGGCATTTGATGATGCTTTGTCTGAACTCGATTGTATTAATGACAAAAATGTTTATCGAGGTAAACGTGTTGATTTCAATTCTTTTTCTTTGAATCGTTTTGTTTTAGACAGTTCGATTGTTCTGCAATTGTTACGTGAGAATCTAAAAGTGAGTTTTTCGATTTCTTTTCTCAATTATCGATTTCAACAAAATCTTCATAGATATGGTCTGAATCCGAAGTGAATATCAACAATGAAGAAGAAGAAGAAGAATTATAATTGTGTTTTTTTCTTTTTCTTCTGCATTATTATATAAATTTAATAATCAAATCACGTCTTTATATAACATAAACCAGTTTATTAAGTTGCTGTGTGAAAATATGAATTTGTATGTAGAATAGAATTCGTTTTAGAAGATAATCGTTCCATTGGGTAATGTGACGTTAATTAAAACTTTGGTTTCTTCGATTAATTGAGTGATATTTACATGAGAATGAAGAAAACTTGAATGAATAAATGAAGCGTGTGTAAAAATAATCTTTTTCAGTTGAGTATTTGTGAAATAACAAAATTTGCAGTGAATATCACGAAAATTGATATTTTCCATATAATTATTGATAAAAGTGACATTTTGTAATGAATTATTCAACATATCAACATCGTATAAAGTTGTATTTCGAAATATTGTATCGTATAATTTACTATTTGATAGAAAACAATGTTTCATCGTTAAATAAGACAATGTATTGTTTTTAAATACAATATCAGATGCGCGAACATTTGTCCAATTGGAGTCAGTAAAGTTACCTGAAGAAAGTCTGGCTGAATGAGCAATGACATTGTTTAATGTAGTCGAGAGAAAAAGACACATATAAGTCTTATAAAATGTGCTAAACATATGTAAGAAGCTTAAATCAACATGAATAAGTAAAGTTGAAACGAATGTACAATCTCTACAGTAGAGATAACGCAGATTTGCGAATGTTAAATTTGCATTTGAAAAGTCAGCTGCAATGAAAATCGAACGATAGAAAGTGGAATTAACTAACGATGTAGATGAAAAATCTATTTTAGTTTCTCGATCATTATCGAAACAAATCGGTGTTCTTGCAGTGGCAAAACTGAAATCTGCAAAATCCAAATAACTTGATGAAAAAACTGAACAATCCAAAAAAACAGAGCGAAACGAAGCATTTGTCAATATACTTTCAGGTAACCAAAGATAAGTTCAATAATTGTACATCAAATCTGTTTTTTCTAACGAAAAATAATGATTCAAACTAAAAGTTGTATTTGTTAAATCCACTCTTTTCAGTTGTAAAAAAGATTCATCCCAAAATTGACTTTTTCTTTCCAAATTTATTAATCGAGCTTCTGAAAGTGATCGAAGAATGAGACTTTTACGAGTGGCATCCCATTGACTTAATGCAGTTATTGTCGTAATACGTATAACAAGTCGAACATTTTCTTCTTTATTTCCAGTTGTACCAAATTCCATAAGAATTTTTGTAAGAAAACTATGATATTCGACGAGAATCGTTTGACGTTGTTGATCAAGAGAAAGTTCACGATCTTTTTCTCGACTTTTTTCAGCGATCAGAATTTCATTGAAACGATTTTCTTTTGCTGTTTCGAGTTCTGCAGATCGAGAAGCATCGGCAATTTCAATATCTTTGATTCGATTACTTTCTGCTATCGATTGATCACTCTGATTTTGAACAATTGTATAAATTGTAATAACGATCGGAATACATATTGTTGAAATTAATTGAATCCATTCAAATCGACTTACACTTACTCGTTTATTCACATCAGAAGAATTCTCCGTTTGTAATGAATTCATAATGTTTGGTTGAGAGTTGATTTTATTCTCGAATGTGGGTTTGATACATTGAGAAAGAAATTCACGACAAATTCATATAAATCTCAACTGATAAACTTGTTCAATATGAATTTATCTTTACAGTTTTATCATTTGAATAATTTAGAAAACAATTTTGATAAGACCGACGAGACTTTGTTAAACATTTGATTGTTCTACTTTTTCAACATTCGTTAGTCGTCGGATCACATTGAGATTCTTTCGAATGACATGGAAGAGATATTTTTGATTGAAAATGCAGTTTGACAAAACTAAGTTTGTTTATTGAATAATTTGTCGAATGTATTTGTTAATCATTTCGAATAATTATTTGAAATAAAGAAGAAATTGTTCTCATTTTTCTCATTTCAATATTCATTAAGATAAAAGTTTGATTTTTCCATTGGAAACTTCGAGTGTTTCTTTAAGTGAAATAATCTTTTGATTTTGATAACTAATCGATTATAATTTCAAAGAATCATTTGTTTAAAGTACAAAAATCTTGAAATACAATGAACATTTCGAATTTGTCCAACTCGAATTTTGATCTCGTAAAATATTCGAAAGAAAAACGAAAAGAAATGTTGTTTGTTTTTGTTTCTGATGGAATATGTAACGAGAGAAATAACGAATACTTTGATCTATCGAATGTTTTAGATATTTGTTTATCTTTTCAACGGAATCTGATGTTTTCATTTTCTTCTCAGTAAAACACGTTTTGAATGTTGTCAACAAGAAAAATGAAAATGGAAGAAATATTTAAGATTTTGAAAATTTCCGAATGAACATAATTTGTCGATTATTTGTTAAAGACAAATGTTCCTAATTTGACTTTATCAATCGATGTTTGTTGTTGATACAAAGCACGAATTTCAAATGGTTGTAACCATCGTGTCCAAACAGATAGATCAGCAATTTGACCGATCCATGGATTATGATGTTGATTATTCTTTGTTCCAATGTACAAAATATTTGGCAAATGGATGGTTTGTTCGTGCCATTGTGAAGAATTCCAACGTTGATGATAAGGTTCTCGTATTTCTGTTCGATTCTCCATGTTAGTCATGTCTACACTGCTCACCTGTTGTCCATTGACCCAAAGATCTTGGAGATTTCGATTGACTCGAGCAACAACATGATACCATCGATGAGGCTCTGTCTTTTGTCGATGTTCACATCCAAATGCATATTTCGCTGATGAAATCATAACTTGATTATGAATATTGGTATTGACATGAAAACCAAGATGAAGCCAAGCATGATTAACACGATATTGATCATTCCAACAGCCAATCGCTGTTCGCCATCCTCCTTCTTGTTGATTTGTGTTCCATGCTTTTGAATCCGCCCAAAACCAAATGGAAACTGAATAAGTTGTCGTTTGATACTGAACTTTATCTTGAACAGGAAAATCAATAGAACATTGACCATCGAACACAGCACATTTGCCGAGAAAACAATCTTCGATTGTTGGTTGACCGATTAACGTATACTGATCAACGAGAACACCACTGGAATCGTGTCCAATATTATTAACATCATCGAACTTCCACCATCCGATGAGTTGATCTCGATTGAGACCATTTACAAAATATTTATTGAGAAACCATTCATTGTTGATGATCTGATGCCACGAACGACAAGTAGTTGAAACACGAAGAAGTAATGAAATAGGTCGAATGAATTGAAAGATTTCGGATAATAATTCATGTGGAAGATCATTGATAGAAATCTGTGAACTGCCCATATTTTATCTCAAAGATAGACAAATGTTATAAGAAGAACGTCATTTATCAAACTGTGAGCCTCTACAGAGAATTGAATTCATTTATTTAATAAGATATGTGTCGCCACATATAGAAATCAATTATAGTTTTTATTTCTCAAATTCAAATATTCATGATTTTATTTTGAATTAAATTCAATGTCAAATCTTTGAATTCGATCATTTCCCCAATCAGCAACATATAAATTTCCATCGATATCAAATGACAAACCAGTTGGATTGTAGAAATTCGTTGAACCATCTTGACCAACAACGATTTCACTTTTGTTATCACTTTCATTCCAACGCATTATTCGATTATTATTACTATCGATTACAAAGATTTGACCAAGATGAGTGACGAACAATCCAGTTGGACCATTTAATTTCTCAAAAGTATTTTCATGGTGAATTCCACCTGCAACAACAATTCCTTCTTTGGCATCTTTTTTCCATTTCATCACACGATTATTTTGTTTGTCTGAGACATAAAGTGAATTTGATTTATCAATATGAATAAAAAAAGGTGCATTCAATTGATTTAAATCATTTCCTTTTCCATTTCCACCAGCTATTAATGTTCCTTCTTTCTCTCCTATTTTCCATCGTCTTATTTCGTCCTTCTCATCATCTGCCACATAAACAAATCCATCTTTATCCATTGCTAAACCAGAACAGTCGATTTCCGACACGATAGTTTGTTGTTGTTTATTTTGAAGAAACCATTGAATGACTCGTTTATTTCCACCATCACAAATAATCAAAGAATTCTCTTGTTTATTTGTAATGACACTCATAGGACCATTCAATTGATCGTATAGATTTCCTTGACCTCTATTCCCTACGACAATTTCACCAATATCATTATTATATTTCCATTTCACAATTCGATGATTTCCCCAATCAGCACAGAAAAGATTCTTTTCATCATCAACGATAATTCCTTGTGGATATTTCAAATGTTGAAGACTATCTCCAAATCCATGACCTCCAGCAATTGTTGTTCCATTTTGTTTCCATGAACTGTTCTTTGAGAGAAGAATTTGTTGGGAAACTAAATTCAAATGAGAATATTTTGTGAGATTTTCAAATGAGTTGTTCTTATTTGTAAAATTATACTTAATATTGCTGATGTTATCATTTGAACTGTTGATTCTTCTTTTGACATTGTTGTTTGTGTTGTCATCAATGTTGTGATGTTCTTTTTCTTTGTTATTTTGACAATAATGATGGGAATGATCACGATAAGAAGAATCAAAATCATCGAAGATATGAACAAAAGAACATTTTTCTTTCGGAATCGTTCATTTCTGAAAAGAAATCAAAACGAGAATATGTTTTTCTCATTGAAACACAAACATACGGTGTTACAGATTCCACTGCATTAAGATCGATTGATGTGAACTATGGAAAATAAATGAGATCGAATGTTGATGATCTTTTTTGAAAATTTACCTTGGAAAGAGTTTTCTTGTGATTGTTCATCGCTGATATTTTTCTTCTCTTCAAGTCTGAGAAGTGTATTGAGTAAAATACTTTCTGAGAATAAAGTAAGTGAAAAACATATTTTATATAATAATGAAATATTTTCTTTTGTTATGCGCATAAAAAGAGTCTCAAATCAACAAACTCGTTTTGACCATATGGTTCTGTGAAAATAATTATTGAACATAATTGTTCTGCGATTCTTATCAATACGAAAGTCATGAAAGTAAATTTATAATGTGATAAAGGTGAGAGTGAAGATATGAATATTCTGTTATTCCAGTTGTCATTCTTAAACTACTCTTGCAGACCATAATAAGTTGATTATGTGTTATCATCATCAACCATATCTTTTGTTTCTCTATTTGAAACTATCTGATATTGAACAATATATGAAAAAGTGTGTTGACACAAACAGAAAAATCGAACTCTGATCGGATCCGTCTTTTACATTTACAATCTTTACTGTATACATACTCACACATTTTGTTGTAAGTATTCTGTTCGTCGAAAGAACGTAGTTTCTCTCAAATCGTGTTCGTTCTACTGTGATTATCAGTTCAAATCATTGTCGTTATGTAAAACAGAGCTGTAGTCAACTAACCAGACTCGAACTGATATCTTGGAATGACACTCGACCAAACATTAATGGCAAGTATTGGTGTGTCTGGCTCGATTACATGTTTCACGTGCAAAGTGTTACAATTTGAGTTGATAAAAGAACATCATATGTTAATGGACATCGATAATTGTTGTAGAAAGTGAAATTTACTATCGCTAGATTTCTGTTTTATAGAAAAGCAAAAAACTCAGAGAAGAAAAAAGTTACGAATTACATTGAATTGTGATTTGTTGTTATAAATGTAGATTATTCGTCTGATGAAGTATGTAGTGTCACATTTCGATATTGATGATGGTCATTATGCAAATAGTTTGAACGCAGTTCTACATTATCGATTTGAAATAATATGAAGGGTGATGATTGAAAAATGTCTGTTCGCTTTTCTTCAAATTTTGTTCCTTGTGTATTTTAGTAAAAGATAGACGATGTCGAGTAGTTTGAATCTGATGCTATTTCTACTGACTTCTTCAGTAATTCAGTTATAATTAAGTTTCATCTAGCATCATTTGAAGTTAAAAACAGGAGGCTCCATAGTTTTAGTTTCGGGTACAACTTTTCTGGATGAAGAACTGTTTTGTTTTTTCAAAACATACTTCACATCTATTCAAGAGTATCAATTTTTTAGATAGTTGTATTAAAATTTTACTGTGAACTTGAAGTTGGTTCTTGATGATCGAAATGCTGGTCGATGTATTTTTCTTATTCGATTATCAAAGAAGAAACGTCAGACATGGGCGATTTCGTGTTCGTAGATCAGGATTGTGTATATAAACATCAGATGTGTCAATAACATTCGGGAAATATAATGAGGTATGCAGAAAAATTCTATTTCATTTCTACGGATAAGTGGAATTGAACTCGTGTTGTTTATAGTTTGTTTCGATAATCACCTCAACAAAGGGTTGTCGATTTGAGAAATAGAATGACGAGAAATATATTTATTTGATTTGAAAGTGAATGAAAAGAAGAAGACATAAATAAAGTATTCAAACGAGCGATTATAGGCGTTAGTTTGTAAGGTCCCTAATAGTCAAAATTAATCATCAAAATTATATTTTTGGAATCAATGAAGCAATTTGATTTATAAACTGGAATAAATGTTATCCTCTTTTCAAGTGTTGGACGACATCGATGTACTCGCAGAAAAGACACGATCGCATTCTTCATCAAACATGTTTATTCTCGAAATGAATTGTAATTGAAGGGAAAAGAAGGATTACAGTTTTCGACTGAAACAAAGTAACAATAGATAAAAACAGCAGTCAATGGTGACGAAGTAGTTCAAAAGCTTCTCTAGGCTCTAAAATGTGTTGCAATCGAAGTTTGTGTCTTTGTTTGGCATTGATGTTCACTGGATTAAACGTATTGGCGAATTTGACAAATGCAGCGTACAACACTACAGCATAACCTGGTGCCAGAATCACATACGTAATAGATGTCATCAACGCTAGTGCTTGCGAACATGTCAGTTCCTATTACATTCAAATACAGAACACACTTCTACCGACAATTTTCTTGACATAAGATAACTTACCAAATCTTTTGGATACATGACAGCAACTGTCGATTCAGTTGTCGATCTTGACGTAGTCAGTCCCATTGTTGTTGGAGCTGAAAGAGAAACAAAATAGGTAAATGATTGCAACAAGTGCTTGCTCACCAGCTGTAGTTGGAGGTGAAGTAGTTGTTGCCGTTGCATTGGTTGTAATTGGAGTAGTTGTTGTTATGACAATGCCAGTCGTTGTCAACTATCGATCACTCGAAGCATACTTTAAGTGTGAACAGAAGATGACTGAACTTACGAGAGTGTTGATACTTGTTGTCGATGTTGGTTTTGTTGTCACTGTGGCAGTTGTGAAAGGTGTAGTAGTTGTTGTGGTTGTACTCGACACCGCCGGATTCCAGATGTTGAAACGCCAAAATGAAGGATCAGTAATTGGTGTGGATTCGGCATCTTCAAAGTTAGATGTGTTGTTGTCTACATATAAAGAAAAGTGAAACTTACGACAAAATTCGCTTCCACTAGCAAAACCACTGTCCATTGTGACATAATAGAACTTGCCAGGTGACCATGAGTAATTTGTAGTAATGACAATAGTATATCCTGTATAGATGATATTAGGAGCATAGCCAGCATCATACCATAGAACTGTAGCATTTGTATCAGCATCTTTGAAACGAATGATAGTTGAATTACGGGTTGGACGACCAACCAAACTTGTTGCTAGATGATCAGAAATAGAAGGGTGAGGATGAGAATGAGAAGAGCCGAAGTACCTTGTATGAGAAATAAGGACTGATTCTGAAAGACAGTACCGACTGGACTTGCTGATCCTTGCACAAGTTTAGGACGAATGAGATCTGGTGATGTGTAATCAACTAAGTATGTGATACACCACGGGTCTGACTGGAGACTGCTATTGTCGAGAGCACCAGCACAAAAGCCTTGTGGACCAGATTGTCCTACTACGGGTGTCCATGTCAATGTCATAACCCAAGTGTCTATGAAATAGTAGCTCGAAATGAAGCTTTATCGAGAAGAGTGAAGCCCTCACTAGCACTTGGATTACTGATAGCACTATGAGTCATTCCATATGGTGAACTGGTGACAAAATCGACGATGGTTTGACCTGGACAATAGGTCTGAACGATGACAGTTTCATTGAGTTGAACACCTTGAATAAGAGTCGATAATAAGAGAAAGAACGGGAAAAGAGTGATGAATGATGCTTACCATATGGCACTCCAATGCAAGCTGAAATGAATGAAGTGACATCATGGAAACATAGTTGAAATGAGAATATTTTGTGATCATACCTCGATTCGGACGAGCTCCGATGATCTGAGGACGTTGCGGACATGCACCACCAGAAGCTACATATGCATAGAATAAGAACTGGATAGGAACAGAACTCATGGGACTGGTAGCAGCAGTGTTATAATAATCTTCGATTTGCAGAGCACATGCATAATAAATATTGGCAGTTGGTAGAGTAAAAGACAGTGTGCAATTGGAGGCAGTCAACACAGTTCCAGCGGGTAGTCCGCTACAAATACATCCACACTCATCAATACGATTGTAATTGGTTCCCGAATTCGAATTCGACCATCGACATTGTAGAATATCGGTGGCATCATTATCAGCCATTTGCACGACATGAGCAACAGGTACACCTCTTTGATAGAATACGACAGGTAATGTGTTTGTGACAGGACTGGTATTGATATAGCCATCAGGTCTCAAGCCTAAATTGAGTCGATTAACAATTGACCAAGCACCTGATGGAGCACGGATATAAAGACCCGTCATCCATGCACTCGATTGGTAACCAATCGTGATGGATGT